AGGATTGTTAATTTCAATGACTGTCAAACTACTATCAAACAGAGCTGCTTGCTACATGAAGCTGCTGGAGTTTGGTATGGCCATAAGAGATTGTGATGAGTGCATTAGATTGGAGCCCACTTTTGGTTAGTTGATAAAAAATATTGATTAGCATAGAAAATGTTTTGTCATTTACATAGCTCAATATTAAAATAAACTTTAATCTGAACCCAGTGAAAGGTCATTTAAGGAAGGGAGCGTGTTACTTGGCTATGAAGGACACTGACAAGGCACTTGATGCCTATCAGAAGGCTCTTGATATCGAACCAAATTGTCAAGAAGCTTTGGAAGGCTACAAAAGGTTTACATTTATATATTTAATTGAAATTCAGTTAAGCACCTGAAATATTTCTAGTAGTTTTGCCAAATAACCTTTATTACATGGCTGTACATTTCAGGATGGTTGATTGTATAAATTAATTTTTTTTCAAGTTGTTTGAAAGAGAGTGGTAACAATCCAGAAGCAATACGCAAGAGAGCCATGCAGGACCCAGAAGTGCAGCAAATATTAGGAGACCCAGCCATGCAGCTCATATTACAACAAATGAATAAAGATCCTAAGGCTTTGCAGGAGTATGTTTTTGTTTGTTTGTTATTGGCTTGTATAATTTGTTCAGATTTTCATGTTTACGCAATTTCAATTACTTTTTCTCTATCTTTTTACCCTTATAAAGAAGCAATATTACTAATAGTTTGCCTAATCTTCTTTTTTTCAAGACATTTGAAGAACCCAGAAATAGCCAAGAAGATTGAGAAACTTTTAGAAGCAGGAGTCATTGGTTTCCGTTAAAAAACATTGAGGGGGAAACATGTTTATATGTATGCATGTGTGCACATTCGAGAGTGTATGTTTGCGTGCATCACTTTATGTGCAGTGTTTTCTGTCTACAAAATTATGGCGAAGTCTTTTGTGTTGTCCATTTTATTTGAAGCGAGAATTAATGAATTTCATTGTAGGCTTTCATTGGTTTCCTCTTAATTTTTATCAATGTCGTTACCGTTAATGTTACGATTGCAGTGGAACAATATTTAATGTCCTTTTGTTGGTCGTTAATCGTTGATTAGTTTATAAATGTTCGTGAGAAAAAAAATTTTTTTCTGATTTTTTTAATTTTCACTCTGTAAAAGCAACAAACAGAGGTGAGTTAGCCAGTTTTGTGTAAAATCTTTATTTTTATCAAATTCGCAGCTTCAAAGATTATTATAAATTAATATAGGAAATAAAATTTGAAATGAATTATGATCACAAGGAAGGTTTTAGTGTCGTTAAGATATTGATTCTCTTATTCAATACAATATTTATGCAATGATTATAGATTGAAAATTTGAGGCAGCATGCATTTCAAAAATTGACAAGTCAACTTTCTTCATGCACCAGGTTGATTTCTTAGTCCAACTTTGTAATGAAGTAACACCAATTGGTCATTGTTTGGCTAGCTGGAAGGTAAAGTTGGTGATTCTGGATTTTTATAAAGAAGATAAAAATTAAGATAAAACAAAGCAACATTCAATATCAACAATGAGAATCGATATGAGTCAGAAACTTTCAGTAATGCTAAAACACTTACATTTGGAATAAACTTCATGTTTCAGGCTGTCAAGAAATATTTTACTTTTACCTTGAAGTATAAATAAACATAGAGTATTATCATTTAAATTTAAAAACAATGTTTTTTTCACAATGTTTAAAAACTTTATTACCATTCTAATAGATGGAGAAAATGAAATATGAGGAGAGCTTGGCTTGACATTCATTATTTTGTCAACTCATATCTGGGATTGGTAATGCTATGCCTGCAATAATTAAAGTTAAGAATATGAATTATTCATAAATTTCTCCAAATGTTACAATAAAAAATTTAACTTATCTATCTAACAATTAATACTAATTCATTAACATTGTAATTTTACTATTTATTGAGATTATTTTCACAAATTGTTATTGTATCACAAATTAGGAAAACAATATATAATATATATGCTATGTTTATAAAATGTGACATTAAAATTTAAAAAATCGTTTTTTTATTAATTGACTTTTATCGGTTTAAAACTATAACTTTTTTTAGTTTATATTTAGAAAAAGTATTATTTTCTGTTTAACACTAACTTTTAATTTAATTCTAGTAAAAGTTCAATGGCATAACTCATAATTTTTCTGCTTATGTTATGAGTCATAACATAAGCAGAAAAATTGTGGTCAAAATTTTTTATACAATACAACAATAGGCTGCATTTGCAAAAAATCAAATTGAATAAAAATATTTATGTTAGGAAAATTGGCAAAGAAATCAGGGAATTCATGTCAAAATCGGCATTAATATATAAAACTACAGTATCACGGCGAACGTCACTTTTAGATACTGTGTGCACAGACAACTTAGCGAATAAATTACTGAAAAAAGCAATTTTTACGACTTTGCTATCTACCGTAAAATGCATTGAAATTTTTTTTTTGAAAAAGTGTCAAAAACTATGAAAACTAAAATTTATTTTTTAATAAAAATTTGTTTTGCATTAAAAATTGTTAAATTGTTATATTTCTGTTGTTAATTTTTTAAATTTATTCAAAATTTTTGAAATTTTATTCATTATTTCATGGCTTTGATGGTCTATTTATTATTCAAATTTACATTTACACTAAGGCACCTTATTTCTACTTTTACAACGCCTTATTTCTATGACAACGCAGATGAATACTTACTTTTAGTTGGACCGGCCACTATCTGAAGTGCACCGGCAATCACAAGCGAGACCACCATCTGAAAATCATCAAATAATTAACTTACCTATCGATACACGATGTTTAATTTACATTACAAGATTGTTCCTATCCTTACATTACGATTACAATTATTATTACATCATAAATAATTGGCTAATTGCCCTTAGCTCTTTTCTTAAGGTTGGGCCTTGCTACTTAAGACATTAAATACTCTCAACCTTAGTAAATAAGAAATTTAGGAAGGTAAAATTACGCTCAATTACTAATGTATGCATTTATGTATGCCTTTGTGTGTGTTGTGTGTAATACGCCGGCGCGTGTAGTGCAAATGCAAAAAAGTCTAAAAGGAAGAGATGAAACTTACCGAAGTACCTGTTCCGCTACTTAATGTTAATCGTATATATCCTATCTAAGATTGAATTATGCCTCCCAAACTTAACTATTAGTTACTTATTGTAATGTGTGTGTGAGTGTGTGTGTGAGTATTTGTGTTGAATCTTATCACAAAAAATAATCATAATGGTAAATTGAAAAAAACAGTAAGCAGTACAATAATGAGCAAACCTGAATCAATGAAGAAAATTTATTTAATTATTGTAAAATTAATGTCAACGAAAATAAACAAACGAACCTCGGAAAATGGTTGATATCTTTACTTACAGGTTTATGCTCTATATAGTATTTACAACAAAATAACCAAACTAATTTGCCGTCAACAAACACTAGTGCAACATTCTGATTGGACCTGTCACTGTACAATTGAACGATACTATTCAAAATAACTCAAGACCATGCTTTCCCGCTTTAAATTGCAAAATATGTGACGTTGTAAAATATCTACGTAAGTATATATATATGTGTATGTAATAACCAAACTATGCACTGTTACTAACATTCCTTATTATTGAAATGAGAATGATTTAGAAGCTTTTAAAAACACAAAAACCATCAAATCACATACAGGAAGAATGCTTTTGAAATAAAAACCATGATCACGTATATAGAAATCACGTCAAATTAAATTAAGAATAATAACGATTTTACATAATTTTAATCCAAATATTAATAATCACATCATAATATAATATATATAGATATATAATATACATATTTTTTACTTCAATCAGACAGAAGTAATTGAAATTCAGTGAGATCTTTTTAATATTTTATTAATTTTCAATATACAATTCAAGAACTTAAATCAAGATTTCGCAAATAATTAAAGAAAATAGAATGGTAACATGTGAAAATATTATAAAATAGAAACGCTTTTTGGACGTATGATTCAACACACATTAAACAAATTGAGTAGATTGCGTGCGTGCGTGTGTGTTCATCATGAACTCAGATATGCATTCGCCACCTGCAACTGATAATTGCACGAAACACGAAACTATTTGCATTCACACTTGATCGAAATTAGGAAATACCTAAAATAAAAACAGCAATTTATTCAACAGTGTTGTACAAAGTAACCAGATAAGACATGAAACATCTTGAGAATCATGACTCAACGACGGTGATGATGATGATGATGATTCGATGGTGATGATGATGATGATGATTCGATGGTGTTGATGATGATGATGATTCGATGGTGATGATGATGATGATGATTCGATGGTGATGATGATGATGACGATGACTCAATGATCATACAAGGGATTGTTAAAAGCAAAAATTTCACCACAAATTACTGACAGAATATAACGTATTTCATGGTGATAAAATAACAAATGCCTAGGGATGGGTGGACAAGTGAAGATTGCTAAGACAAAATCACAACTCAAAAAATTGAAAGAATAAAATGAAGATAATTTAAAGAAGAGGGTGAATCAACAAACAGCTGTACATAATGTTGAATGTTAGCGACGTGTTGAACTCTTACATTGCAGGCAGTACGCTAACTCATTGGCACCTGAATAACTGTTGAATGAAAAAAGGGATGAACGGTGTAAATATGAAATTAACACTGTGATTTTTACTTCTAATAGAAAATAAGATAATTATTTTTTTATAAATTTTATGATTTCTAGTAAATAGATTGTGAAAGAGTTTTGTTGTTAATAATTTCTGTATCAACCGTTCACCACAAAACTTTCAAAAGTTATGATCTTTGGAATAATTTTACATTGCTTTTTGTGTAACTTACCTCGATAAAAATAACTTAAATGTTGTTTCATTTGAGAAAATTAGACAAATATTGAGGCAAATTAATAAAGATAGAGAGCCAACTCTAAATGTGCACATAAGTAGCAGAAGACGTCATCACACAGTACACAGCTCCTAGTACAATGAGAGCAGAGAGGAATGCAGCACCAAGAACAGTGTGAACATTCGTAACTTGGACCATTTTTTGGAAGATTTTGTTGGCAGGAAAGACAAATACGACCGTCATCTGAATGACATGTTCATTTATTGTTAATGTTTAATTGGTGATGTTAGCTTTTGAAATGTTAATGAGAAATGATTGTATAACAAATTGAAAATTTGAGTTAGAAAAAAATTGAATTTAAACATTTAAGATCTTGTCACCGTTTCTTTCTGACCATATTGCCTGGCCAACACTCAACTGGCCATTAGAAGAGAAAGTCAACTGTCTGAAGCATGTACTATTTGAAATATCTTTTGTATGACTGTCTGTTTGTTTATTAGTCAAACTGCTTTCATTTAAATTTTCCTGCATGCCTTCAGCAAACTCCATCGTGTTTTCATCATTATTAGTCGTTGTAGTGAGGGTGAAAGCATTCTTAGAACCAGCAAAGAGCAACTGCTTGGTTTTCTCTATTCATATAAAAAATTTAATTGAAAACTTTGATAAAAATAACAGCAATGGTAACAAATAAATACTAAATCAAAATTTTTAATTATGAGGACACAAAAAAGAAGGAAAAACCGAAAAAATTAAATAAACATAAGAAATTTAAATAGAGGACCAGCTAACTAAACTGAGCAAGTAGTAAGTTTAGCCAAGACTTTAGGATTTAGGTCAAGGTTTAGGTCTTTAGGATGATAAAACTTTCAAGTTTTAAAACATTTATTAATTGAATAGAAATTAATTTATTGACATTTTATTTAGAAACTGGCAAAAAGAAAGCTAGAAAAAGTTAGGTTTGAAGGTAAGCGTAGAGGTAAGCTTAAGGCTTAAAAAAGCCTTAAAAAAAGCCTTAGTTAAGCCTTAAGCAGGCTTAACTAAGGGCTGCTAAGAGCTCTAAGGTGAGGATGGATGTAGTACAGGAGACAGAAGTTTGTTTAGTTAGTAACCAACCGTAAACTTTTTGCATCTTTTCGTCCGATTTTTCATCTAAAAATTTTTGACTGACGCACATTTTAACTTGAATTGCACTGTCAACTTCTCTAAAAGGATTTTTACGCTTTGACATTTTTTTTGCTCACTTTGCGTTAAATTTAAAAGTAAACTTTTTCTTAATAAGTAAGATAAGTTTTACATCAAAGTTTTAAATGACCATAGAGTTGCAGGTGTAGAATTAACTATATCAATACAGTGATCTTTAACAAATATAATAAATATCAATGTATCTAATAACTTTATGTTTAATTTATTTAAATTAAAATGTGCACTTTCTATCAAATATCATAATCCCTAGAAAACAACGAGCAAACAATAATTTGGTGTATTATAAGTACTCAAATAGCAGGAATAATAAAATGCTACTAAAAAATACAAAAACTAAATTATTATGGTCAGACAACTAGAAAATGGAATTGATTATTTAAAAAGATCATACGAGAGAAAGGAGAAAGAGAGGAAGACAAAGAAGACGAGGATTCATGACCGAGAAGATCAACATAGCAAGCAAGCAACAGGAGAAATATTCACTCGTTGCTAACACTGCAGATGTATAACCCACTAGACGACCATGGTAATATATGATTTTTAACCAGCCGAGAACAAATCAATCAACCATTCAACTGAAACAGCTTACAATTCATTTCAACACATTCATTCTCAATAAATAACAGACTCAGAGCCAATCAATAGCTAACAAATCATCAAATAATAGAAATAATACTAATCAATGTTATAATTGCGATTAAAATTTACACAAGAACATGACATGACACGCACCTATCAACAGTCACTTCATATAATATGGCGCACACTCGAAATCATCCAAATCAAACATCCCCTCTGATTTCAACCTCATCATCCTCCTTCAAATAATCATATTCACTCTCATTTTTTCACTTTCTCTCTCTCCCATCCAAGAGAAGATCTTAACTGAGTGACAATAACATTAAACACACAAGCAGGCATACACGCGTATATGATTCATCAGGCGCTTCATTTACTACGCACTGTGTATTGTATATTGGCAGGTGCCTGATTGCTATGCTTTGCATACACTAGTCGTCACTTACCTGTATTATACATATATATATATAGAATATATGTTATATTCCATATATATATATATATATATATATATATATATATATATATGTCCCTATTATATATATATATATATAGATATATATATATATATATATATATATATATATATATATATATATATATAGAGAGAGAGAGAAAGAGAAAGAGAGAAAGAGAGAGAGAAAGAGTCATTAATAAAGGTAAGTATACTGATACAGATTATCCACCCATTTTTCTCTTTATTTCTTCTTTCCTCTCTTTTATATAAATATATATATATATATATATATATATATATACCCATGTATGTACACAATATATATATATATATATATATATATATATATGTTTATATGACGCAATTTAGAAACACACTTAAGGATAGGGCTGAAATTTTGAGAAGCCAAAATTTGAGCGTGAAGAGCAACCCGTCAGTATTATTATAAATATTCAATATTTTTATTATTTTATTATATTTTATTATTAAAATTTTTTTTATTAAATGTAATAATCTTCATAAATTATAGCTGTGATTAGATTATAAATAATATTTTTCTATAATTTTTCACGTTATAATCTAGATTTGAAGTTTGGCGTTATTTTTTTTCAACAGAAATATCAGCAAGCAAGAAGACTCTGGTGAGGGTTTTACGATCGAATACATGGAAAAGTTATAAAACACAGAAAGTTATCACCAGCGATGAGCATGAAATTCTCATCAAACGTTCTCACGGCGAAAACTTCGTCGCCATCAACTAAATCAACGACATCGTGAGCAACAAAAGATAAAGCAGCAACAACATCAACAACATCAACAAAACCACTTGATAAAACATCAACAACGACAACTGTTACAGATTGAATCTCCGGAACTGAAATTAACAGAGAAATCAGTGTTGAAAAATGCTACGGATGACAGAAAGAAGGAAACCTCGATGGGCAGAGCATTCAACAACAATCACATCTCATGTAACAGCCATAACATCGTTTCGACAGAAGTACAGCAGAAAATTTTACGTCCTATTAAGTATTCTAGTGTTAGCTTCCAACATGTCGCTAACGAATTGCAAACTACCGTCTCAAATAGTTGTTAAGATAGCTGAAAATGTTAACCACAGCGACAACACAACCACAACAACCACAACCACAACAACCATGAATTTAATCAACACTAATAACGACTCCCTCGCGAATTTAAATTTACTAAAGCATCACGGTACAACTACAACAACAACATCAGCGCCGTCTACATCAACAGCTCAACTAATGTCGACATTAACGACACAACCGCCGCCACCATCACAGCCGCCGCCACCACCGCCGCCGCCACCATCACAGCCGCCGCCACCACCATCACAGCCGCCGCCACCACCGCCACCACCACTGCCGCCAACACCAAGAAGCAGATCAACACGGACAACGTCAACGACACCAGCACTAACGGAAGCCACCAACCTTACCACAACCAACAACAAAATCTCCAGAGGTGGTCGCTCAATCAAGTTCAACGCAAACAAAACGTTGCGAAGTTTGCGCTGTTGATGACTCAAACAGCACTAACACATCGGAAACAGTTACAGCAGCATCCTTTTCTGGGAGTTCTACGGTGGTTAGCATGAATACAACAATCTCGGCGGAAACAAAGATGACGACAATAGTTTTCACCACAATAGGACCTCCACCCCCATCAGCAACACTTCCACTAACGCCTACGTCATCGTCGTCCCCACCACCACCAACCACACCCATCCCTAGTACGATCCAACTTACTACTACAGCTGCTTCAATCGGTCTGTCTATTTCTAAATTTTAAAGACCTTTAATTAATTACACTATATATAGTAGTAGTCGTAATAGTATTAGAAGCTGTAGTAGTAGTAGTAGCTGCTGTATTAGTAGCAGCAGCTTTAGTAGCAGCTGTAGTAGTAGTAGCAGCAGCTGTAGAAGCAGCAGCTGTAGTAGCAGCTGTAGTAGTAAGTACTATCAAAATAAAAATTAATAAATGGCTATATTTTTTAAACGTCTTCACAGGCGACAGACAGCTTTACAATGGTCTTTTTATTATAAACAATAATAATAAATGAATTAATAATAATTATTATTACAAAAGTAATAAGGAATAATAATAATAATAATAGTTAATAAATAAATAAATATGTCGTAGGATGAATTTTAGATATTTCTGTATTGTGTATTTATTTTGCTGTGAAATGTATTCACGCCCAATCGTTGCTCTTGTTTTATTTTTTAGCATTTTCACTTTCATTCCCTCATTCAATAATTCATTCATTCATTCAATAATTCATTCAATAACTCATTTATCGAATCATTCATTCAATCAATTATTCACTCACTCATTCATTCATTTGCGAACAGTAAATGACTATAGCTTGTCTTTCAAGATTCATCACGATTACCGCACTGAAATGTCTATAATAAATTCAACCGAATACGTGAAAGTTCTTGCCATATTTGAAGACGGGGTTTGTGTGCATAAATGTGTGTGTGTGTTTATATATATATCTATATGTATGTGTGTATATATGTATGTGTGATTGATTATATTCATTTAATGCTACACTCCACCCATCCTGAAGTTGATGACGTCATGTAAGGAAGTGCTGAAGGAGACATTCAAAGGAATCGACAGGAACTACAGGTTATCGCAAGGCAGCGTTAAAATCGAATCGGTTCTGTCGGTATTCGGAAATGATACATCGCTGGTGGAGGACAAAACAGCCTGGGAGAATAGCTTATCGAGCACACTACCTGGTCTTTTCATCAACGGGACGTTTGGTTAGATTTGAATTAAATTTACTGAAATAAGTATTAAATCTACTGCCAATAATTACAGATATTAAAAAATACAACAATGGAACATCAACGCCAAGCGTTCCTCAAATGAGTAAATGCAATTTTTCACCTTCTGATTAATTTACCCTTAAAAATATACACTATTTCATTTTAGATTTTTTAAAAATTCAGCCAACAATGACCGTTGTACAAACTGACCAATAGTTCCACGTAAGATTTCCTAACGAAATGTAACGTTACATACGCCCTGTAAATAGTTGAAATTTCAAAATTATTTTGAAAATAACCATTAATTCATCGGAAAATTTCACAAAATTCAACAATTTCACATCTAATTTTTCAACAATTACAACGTAGCACCACTTTGAATAGAAAAAGTTTGAAAATTAATACAAAGACAACGAACCAACACACGATGATCTAATAAAAAAAACTTTTACAGATTACTTGGCAGTAGGCGTATCGTGCGGAATACTATTTGCAGTAGGAATTATCCTATTCATCATCCTCCTCTGCTTATACTTGCACAGAAAAAAACTCAAAGACCAAAAAGATATTCCGAAATCAGAGTGTGAGATTTACGTTAGAAGCATTACTGGACCGCATGATCAAAAGAGTTCAAAAAGGCTCTGGATGCATAACAATAGCACTGGTCTCTATAGAAGTACAGAAGATGTTTGTGGTGACGTTTCTACTGCTGCTGCTAATGGTGCTGTTACTGGTAAATCTATTGCACTGGAAAGAATAGACGAGGTTTGAAATGTTTCACTTTTCAACTATTTAACCAGCGATTTTTCATAATAAAATATATTACTGTAAAATAATGTAATGAGGAAATATAACTTCAAAGTTACTTACTGCCAACAACTTTGGAGAAATGATTCATTTACTAACTTGTACCAAATGGATTCCAGGGTGGTCCGCACGCTCCGACATCCGATTCGGATAGCGACTACGATGGCGATCAGAGCGACCCAGTTCCCCTCCACCGACGCCAAAAAGATGACGTCATCGTCAATTTAACGGCTCAATCTCTGAACGGCAAAATGGCGAACGAAAGATCAAATAAAAAATGGAACCAGCCCGAACGAGCATCGCATGCCAGAGATAACCCGGCGTTCGAACCCAACCACGACGACTCGCTCGATAATATTCGGTCTTACCGACCGCATATTTTGAGTCAACAAATAACCGAGTGTACCGAGTCTACAACCGCACTGGAAGACGTCAGTGTTGCCCTCTCATCCAACCATAAACGTCAGTACAACTACCTACAATGCTCAGTCAATTCTCATTTTTTTTAAATTATTGATAAAAGAACCAAATGTTGCACCTGACTGGAACTCTTTAAAAAAAAAAAAAAAAAACTCAACCACCGTAGAACAAGCACCCAGAGTCAACCTGGTCAAGCCTTACAACCGAGACAACGACGTCGAGGACAATAGAAATTATTATTCGCAATTTAGAAAACCCACCGACAATTCGAGCCAGCACGTAGAAGCACCGGCTCACATCAACCACACGACGAAACAATCTCAACAGAGACCTACCAATCCGACGCAAGTTCTCAACACTTTAACACTGAGAAACGAGATGGACATGTACCGAAAAGATCTTTACAAACCAGTCGATTTTGGCGGTCCGTGCATTCCAGGGAGCAACACATCACTGCAGAATAACTCCTCGATCGGATCGAGACTCTCCCACGCCGAACCATCTGCGCCCGACATCGATTTAAAGCAGGTGTCGCCGCTGGACGAGCTCTTCTCAAACAATAAAGAACAATCGGTAAATCTATAACAATATCATGAAAATTTATGACTTCACGCAAATATATATGATAATAATTTAGTAAACACTTATAATCAAACAAAATAGTATTTCTGACAACCTTACTTCATATTTTAATAACAAAATCTTTGACACTCTCAACTCAGTTCAAGTCAACTTTAACGGCGAAGGCGAGGAAACTGCTGGGCAAAAATTCAAATGATATCTTATACAGAACTAACGGAAACGCGTGATCGTGACGTCATGTAGTCCCATCATCATCATCATTATCATGAACAGCATCATCATCATCATCATCATCATTAACAGCATCGTCGGCAACAACTGAGACATCTGAACAGGCGAAACTTACAAATTAATTAACAAATAATTAAACAAAGAACAATAATTTATCAGGAAATAAAATGATTGGCTGTAATTTGCGGTGCTATAATTGAAAAATGCAAATGTCCTGAAGGGTATCATCATCAGCAATATTATCATCATTATCAACACTGTTACTCTCATCATTATAACCATTCTTATCGTGATCACTTTGTATTTTATAAGGTTGCATTTATTCATTTCAATTTTCTCTTTTTCTTTTTGGCTTCATCGTCTTCCTCATCATTCTTCTTCTTCTTCTTATCGTCATCATCATTGTTGTGACTTTCCATATAAATTTTCGAAATAATCTTGAACGCCTGATTCAGTGTTCCCAACACGACATGGTATTCATAGTTCTTCTGTTTTAAATTCATAGTATCTTTGTTTCTGATATGTTTTTTCGATTTATTAACGCTAATCTTCAGCTTTTCATATTCGTTTAATTCCCGCGCCATGGTTTTTATGTCTTTGCCTTGCAGCGAACATCCAACTAAAGTCATCTGTTGAAAGAATGGTGGTTATGATGATGTCATAGAAAACAAAAATAATAATAATAATTATAACAACAATAATAATAATAAAAGACAAGATGGCCTCACGGATTTCATCACACGTACTTCTTTTTATGAAAAGCTTTTTTTTGATTTTTTCAAACTTATACTTCAAAGTCCAGGTTTGTATTTCAAATAAATCGAGAGCAAAAAATCGACCCGGCGATATTCTTAAATTATAAAACAAAAACAACATCAGCAACAACATCAACATCAACATTATCAACATCAACATTATCAACAACAACATCAGCAACAACTTCAACAACAACATCATCAACAACAACATCAACAACAACATCATCAACAACATATACTCACTAGCTTTTCCTTCTTCAGCGATGATAACAAAGATGATGCTGGCGAATCATCACCGTTATCGTAATTTTTGCTAGAAATACGATAGTAATTGCTAAAAAAGTCGCAGGCGATCGAATGCATCACATCCTTTACGGCCCTCAATTCTACCCTATCTTCCATGTATAGGAGCAACCTTTCTCTGTCTTCTCCTGACCCTATCAGCTGTTTCTGTACATGTTTGCGTTGTAGGCCTTTGAGAATGTACATTACTCGTTAATCGTGAAGACTATTACATGGTATAGAGATAACTAATTAATGATGTAACGGTATACGTACACACACACATGCATGCACACACACACACACACGCACATACACACGTATGTACCTTTGGTTTGAGTGCATGTTAATAACTCTAAAGCACTGAGCGTATTCATGTGTTTGAAGTCGTAGGGCAGAAGCCTTAGAAATCGAAGTCTGAAATCTGTGAAATTGAAAAATCTATAAATCAATCATTCATTCGTTCGTTCAATTATTTATTAACGGATCCTTCCTTCAATCATCAATTTATTCATTCCATTCACTCATTCACACATTCAATCATTCAATCACTCTCAATCAACCAATGAACGAACCCAACCACATCTTGAATACAAATGACTTTTTCTTATTGCTTTCATTATTATTAATATTATTATTATTTATTTCTTTCATGAATATACAAGAGTGTTCGCCAGTTGTTAGGTTCTGTAAAATAATAAATTAATAATAATAATTATTATATTATAATAATAATTAAAATTACGATCATAATTTAAAACTATAATTTTATTTTACCGGAACTTGTGATATATAAACTGGATGCATGTGCAAGCTTTTCCAGAATCTAAAAAAAGTTAGTATAAAATCTGAATTCACTTTTAATCTATAAATCACATCAACAACAACATCAACAACAACATCAACATCAACAACATCATCAACAACAACATCAACGACAACATCAACAACATCAACGACAACATCAACAGCAAAAACATCAACAACAACATCAACATCCTCAATAACAATAACGACATCATTTGCACCTCAGCAGATGGACTCTACAGGCCTACAATTACAATACAATACAATACAACACAATACTATACAATTATAATACAATAAGATAAAATACAATATAATACAATACAACACAATACAATAGAAAACCATACAATACAATACCAAAAAGTTTTATCCACAAAAAAAAACCTAATCAGATTCAAACTTGCACCAAAGCTAGTCCCAATGTAATCGAGGCATTCATCCACTTCTATATCGTCAACTGATTCAAATATCACAGCCTGTAAATAATAATTATAATAAAATTACGAACACTAATAATAATGATAATAATGATAATAATAATTGACCTTATTAGCACCATCATCAGTAACGAAGGCACAACCTTTGCCACTCTGAGTAACTCTACTGTAAAAATTCTCCAACAACTGCATAGCTCTTTTCCCATATCCCATCTGAAGAATAAGAATAACAATGATAACAATTTATAATAATAATAATAACAATTTATAATAATAATAATTATTATTATTATAATTATATTGATATGCGTTTTTAAAATCGTGACCGACTTTTTGATAGGACGTATGAGTAGCGATCCTTACAATACGAATACCTTTCTTCTCTGCTAACCTTCTACTTGGAAACTTCAACAATAATAATAACAATAATAAATATTTATAATAATAAAAATTAATAGTAATAATAATAAATAATAATAATAATTAATAATAATAATAATAATAGAGAAAAACCTGTTGATTCATAAGCCATGGAATCAAATCGCCATTATCATTGCTTTGCATTCTCAACGTTTCCACAGACAAATTCCCTTCGTAGGCAACCTAAATAATTAACAATAATTATTAATAATAATTGATATTAATTATTATGATAGTTATTATTATAATTATTAAATAACAAAGTCATCAAACAAAGAAACAAACAATTAATTTTTCGCCCGTACGATCAATCAACCAATCAACCAATCGATTCACCTGCATTACGCATATGATCTGCAGCCCATCATACTGATCAACATCATTTTTATTTGTATTCTTATTCTTCTCATCATCACCATCATCGTTATCATTATTATTATTTATTATTATTGATGTGTTGGGGCCGAGAAGACAGAACAGTCTGTGGGCAGGCGCATCAGCCAGCATCAGCAAGTCATTAGGCGAATTCTGACGACGAGAATGATAAATTATAAATTAATTACAATTTTTTTACTATAAATTAACATATTATAATGCAACAGCGTGAATAATAAAAAGGTTCTAAACGGTACGAAACTACTAAACGAACTTTATAATGAGATGCTACATAAATAGCCACAATATCATCCAGCACTTTGTTACTGACGGCTGAAGACCCCGCGAAAAGTGAACTTAGATTGATCCTAAACAGCTGACAGGAGTCCAAATTAGGGAAATCAGCGATGTGCGGGGGTTCTTGAACTGACAGACAGAAAAGATCATTCATCCAATTTTCAACAGGGTCTTCATTGCAATAACGAATACAGTGGTTCAACGTTATTTCGTGTAATGACGCTGCTGATGTTGATACACCAGCAGCAGCAGCAGCAGCTGCCGCTGATGAAGATGTTTTTGACGACGAAAGCAATGATTCTATTAGTTCGTGTGATCTTTTTTTCAATTTTTTGCCGGAATTCATTGGCAAGATGACGTCATTTGTCGGACACATCCTGGAAGACCTTCGCAGCTCTGATAGCAGCTTCAACGATAGAGATCTGCCCGTGCCTTCATAACTGGAGGAAAACAATTACGAATCAATGCAATTATAACAATGACAAACTCATTTTCACATTTACATCAAATACAATTTTGAAAAATTACACACGCAGACAGACTCTGACCCTTGAATAGTTGAGGCCATGACACATAACTTGACCTGGATCAGTGATCTGACCCAATTTAGGGGAATGGCTGCCGATTCGTCGATGCATAGAAGGTCGCACGAGGTCAAGAGGTCAAATTTGTCAGCTGTGTGATACTTTGAAAATTTAAAAAAAAAAAATTTTATTTAGTATAACCTGAACCGTTACATTAATAATTATTATTATGATCTATAATTATTAAATAATATAATTATTAATCAAATTATTAAATTTATTTTATTAAAAATAATAAAGATCACCTTAATTGTTTGTCTGTGGTGTTTTAAGATCAATAGACCTTCAATGGTAGTCGCATTTCTACTCAATTCACCACAGCTATCATTGGCATTATTGCTTTTGTATTTACTGTTACAACTGTTGTCACTGCTGCAGCTTCTGATAAAGATGTAGTCTTTATCTTCCTTTCGATTTGCGAAGAAAAAAACACAAAAACAAGTGAAAATAATTTATTTGGCGTATTTAAAATGGAGAATTCAATTAAACATTCAATCAAACAACCAATCAATCAATCAGTCAGTCAATCAATCAACCAATCCATCAACCAATCCATCAACCAACCAACCAATCAACCAGTCAATCTATACAAAATAAGCCACCTGATAACCGACACTCTCCAAACCAACACCGACAAAATGGAAGAGCGTTTGAACGTTCTCAACACCCGGCGACGTCACGCAAATATTCGACAACCTTTTGAAATAAATTTTTAGATAAAGTTATAACTGTACGAATATCAATTTCTAAAAATAGCCCCAACGAACCGACCCATTTAAAATGGCGACAACCAATCCCAGGCCAATAGAGGCCGACTTGCCCCGACCCCTGCCGGAAACCAAGCTTAAAAGAGAGGCGCTTTCATTGGCTGATACCTTTAGCAACTCAAAAAACTTCAATACCACTGTGACCTAACAATTAGACGATGTTTCTATTTTTATAACTATAAAACTTGTTGATAATTTAATTAATAAATCTGTGTACTTGATCAACTGTGGCACAACAGCCAATCAGTTTCGAGATATTTAACAGCTCCCCGTGATTGGCTAGTTCATTGGAGATGTATGAGATTGTACAGCTGTGTACATCTAACGTTGAATCTCCATTGGCTGGAGGAATTTTCGATGAATATTGATCATTGTTGAATAAATGAGTGATGTTGAACTTGTCGTCAACCGCGAAAGAACTATAACAACGAGTGAGCGACTGAATGAATCTGAATTAAAAAATGAATGAATGAAACAAATTATTATGAATCTGTACCTCTTAATATTTTTTTTCACTTCATTCTAAAAGCATTTTACTAAAATTTAAATCCACTTTTATAAAGTTAATTATTTAATATAAAAAGAAATTTACTATAGATAGATAGGTGTTAAGTTTAATTAAATTAAAGTATGAAATGTTTTAACATGTCAAAGAGAACCTTGTCATAAACTTAGGCTTCACATCAGGAAACCAATGAGTTCTAAATTTATCATGAACCTCCTAAAAAAAATTAAAAGACAAATTAGTAACAAAAGTTAACTTTCATTTTATAAACATAAAAAAGCATTCTCATTTAATATAGACAACTATATATTAATACACTAAAATATTAAGATGTCAAACCAAATGTAGATGGCATAATTGATGGAATGATTGATGTTCCTCGAGGACAAATAGAATGACTCCTCCCCTTCCTACTGTTTCCACGCATCTTGCTATTATATTTGGAGTTAGCAATTCTAAACCCTGAAAAATTTATTTTTAAAACCAAAAAACTATTTTTTCATCATATCAACGTTCTATTGATTTATGCAACACATGGTTTATCAAACCTGGAATATACAGGCATTGTGAGTCTGGCCTAATATAGTTTTTGTATTGTAAGGTGAGCAGAATGTTATGGTTGATGATGCGAGGAATATTTCCAAGAGCTGCACATCACTGATTCTGTCGCTTTTACTCAAATTCTTTATCTTCTTACTCCAGGTTTTGCCACATTTCCTAAGATTAAATTTTTCTTTAATTAAAATTCAATGATTAGAAAAAATAAACTGTGGTGAATTTTAGTGAATTGAGTGAATTTTAGTGAATTAAGGTCAGATTTTTATAATAATAGTTGAGTAAGCAGTAATTAATGACGTTATATCTGACAATGATGGTTTTATTTGGTGAAATGAATCGAAAATTTTTTGATTTGATAACTCAGGAAAAAAACCAACTGAAGCTAAACACAAGATATAAAACCATAAATAATAAGAATATAAATGACTATATGAATTTGTTTAAACTATAATTTAGAATAAAAATATTTATAATTTTATATAAAAAAAAACTAATCCATTACTAATCACAAATTAATTGCAATCTACCCACCTGGCATATTTAAACTCGTCTCCTTTTGTTATCCATAAAATTTTTGGTGGGGGCAATTTGCTTTTTGAAACTCTTCGAGTTAGATGAACAATGCGAGGTATCTTATTTATTAAAATTAAAAAAATTTAAATTTTGATAGATCCAGCAGATAAGGAAATTTTTATTTTAAAAGTAAAAATGATAAAAAATAATTTAAAAAACTAAAATTTACAAAAACTGACCACGAGTTTGGCATCTTTTCCAAAAGCGAACATCAATGATCGGTATGATTGTTCGGAGATCTTAACAAATTCGTTCATTTTTAAAAGTTTCAAAGCATTCAAACAAATGATAACTTTAAAATCTATTGAAACATTAAAACAAAATTTATTAATGTTTTTTAGATTTAAAAATAATTAAGTTTATTATGTATTTTGAGCCGCATGAATCGATTTTAAGCAAAGTTTACTTATAAAAATCACCAAACGTTAATCGAAGTTTTAACCAGTACCATATACATAGAAGTGTAGAATTCAGAACGATGTGTACATTTGCACTTTGCAGTTTATCATTTAAAACATTGACTTTACTTTTTACACAATAGATTATTAAGATTTACGTAATTAATTATATATAAAATATTGTGAGTCTTATAGATAAAATTTTATTTAAATAAAAATATGCTTCGTTTTGTATGAATCATACGCATTATTTTGCATATAATTTATTCCATTTCTAGGGTATATCGATTTTTAGAGTATTTACTTTGATTCATAAGTTGGATACTGATTTTTTGATATCTCATAAATGGGACAAAAAAGCTATGCAAGTTGATTTGTAAAATACATCTCCAACCAACATTTCTTTAATCAATCTAACTTTTTGTTTGTTTAGTTTCTTTTTTTAAAATTACTAGCTTTCAAGACGGCCTCTCTATTGTCACTTCCTAATTGATCTTAAGAAGTTACAATACAAAAGTTTCTCAGAGCGGTTCAATTAACGCCGTATGAATCTTACTAGATTTATCAAATTTCTCAATAACAGATAATTTTCTGAAAAGAGAAGTTTCTCATAAACTTCCTAGTAACTAAACCTTATTCATTCGTAATATCTTAAACTTACTTGAACTCTATTCGTACGTTTTTCTGAACGATCAATTGACAAAAGGATCATAAGCATGAATTCATTCATGTGTTACAACGCAAAGCAACAAACGACAATAGTAGCTTTCATAATAACAATACTACGATCGCTAAATGCGTACACTCCCATTCAGAATACTTAAAATCTGATTACTGCTTAGTATACCTTTAGCTACGTTAACATCATATACCAAAATATATAAGTTAATTAATTAATTAAGATTCGGCAATATTTTGTTGAAACAGTTTCAATTCCGTTAACATTTGAATATTGTGTTGAAGTCATTGAGATTTTTGTTTAGTTCAGTTTTATTTTTGCTGGCAAATTTTAAAATTAGCATTTATATAGTTAATTAATTAACTATTAAATGAATAAATAAATAAATTGTTAAAACTTTTAAGTTAAGTACTAAGTTTTGTTTCATTAACACTGCCTACCACGCATAACTAACGAAATAGATCAATGAAAATAATTTCAAAGACCGCTTGTTAACAAACTCTACAGAAATAAATATAGGATCGAACAATTTGATGTATCAATAAAATGAAATGACATTGAATGAAATTAGTTGCAATGAACGGTAAAATATGGGTCGTCGTCATTTTGAAAGCCATCGCATCGCCCACTCTCACACTGACAGCTGAAACTAGCAGGAACAGTTGCTACATCCCAAATATTCATTCCAGCTGCACCAACCTGGGTCAGATCTGCCTAACCGACTTCAAATACAACGAAAGTCGCTTCAAACATCTAAAAGAAAATTACGAGGGAACTGAATCCAAGAGAATCTTGTTTTTCCTCATTGACGATAGCGTTCGCTATTCGCAACCAGCGAGCCTGAGAAATCTCACACTTTACGATGAAGTTCCTAATTTTTTTGCAAGCTTGTCAACCTATCTCAAAAAAATTGGCAGCTCATATTCGCAAATACTCTGCTACAGTTTTGACAAGAGCGGAAAGAGTAGATTTACGTGGAGCATGACAGCTCCATCCATGTTTACAGATACAACTTTCCAAAATTGTTCCAATTTGATGATTGCCGACAACAGTAAAGAAGAGGTAGTTGGTAAAAAATTGATCGATGGTATAAAAAGTTTCAGCGATCTTGCACTAAGCGAGTACCAGCAAAGAAGTGATTACAAAATTTCTCTATGGATCCTCACTGACGCTCGCACTGACGAGCGGAACTTTAACACTTACGAATCCGAAGTTGAGGCCTTGAAAATTAGTTATTTGAAAAATGTTACAGTTTTTACTGTCTCGATGGGCCAGTGTCCGGATGGATATTTCGACAGGCAAGTCTATGAAAATGTTATGCACAATCTGGCGAGCAGTAGGGGGCAGTCTGCCTGCTTTCATCGGTGGACGGATGATTTGTACAGTAGGAATTATTTAAATGTTAATGTATAATCAACATTTTTCATCCAATCATTTTGAAATTGAATAGCTGCCATAGAATCCAACAAAGTAAATTAATATTTACACACATTTCAATTTTATAAAGCTTTTTCTACCTCGAAACAGATTTCAAAGTGGACGGCTTGTACCAGGATTGCTCGTCAGCAGATTCAGTTCAAGTTCAAGTTCCTAATGATAATAAAGTATCGATAGGAATAATTGTTGGATCAGTTGTCGGTGGAGTTCTTTTCCTACTACTTATCATCAGCCTCATCTTCATCATCATCTTCCTGAGACAAAAAAGAAGGGTCAATGAAGGGGCTGAGTTGAAATGCCCCACTTGCAATTCAAGCGAATGTTTCTGCCCTGTGCCTCCAGTTCCATGCGCCAAACATCCTGTTAAGAAAGTTGATCAGCCCGGCCAACATAAATATGACAACTTTGAAGACGGCGATGTTGCTCAGAGGTTGAAATTTCTGCTGCTGCTGCTGTATTTTGCTCGAATGAATTTGAGTTACTGCAATTATAAAATATCAATCATTCTGTCATAAAACTTGAAGGAATAAACAAATTGTTTAGAAAATTAGAACTTATTATAAAAATTATTGATCTAACAAATTCAATCTCAAAACACGAAACCCAACAGCAAATCTTTGCAAACAGAAGGAGCTGAAGAAACAGTTGAAGTTGCATACAGGAAACCGAATTTCTTAACCAAAGACAACGTTAATTATGGTCACCAGATCTCTTCTAGAGTATGTAAACGATTAATATCAATTTTATATTATTTTTTAAAAATTTAAATAAATAATTTTTAATTAGTTTCAATCTATTTAATCTATTTATTAAAAAAACTCTCTAATTTAATTTTTTAAAACCGGAAACCAGGAGAAATTTGTTGAGGTGTTTGTTCATGCAATCACAACCAAATATAACATTGTTTGTAATTCTCTTCCTAAGCCTCCAGTTCGACCGAAGAATCAATCTTGGTTGAACATTCTAGAATGTGGTCTGGAAGGTTGGAGTGAATATTTGAGGAAATATTCAGAAACGATGGGCATTGATTTCATTGCCTGCTACTCTTTCGACCCAAAGAACAACGCCTTTGCGAAATCCAGCAACACGATCTCCATAAAAATTGAGGAACGCAAAGAGTTGATTGCGCTATTCAGTTGTGGCCCTGCAGAAGCTTCCAGCGTCGGTAACAGTAAGAAGAGTCGCAAGAGACAGAAGCAGCCGAAAAATCTTCCGAATCTCGAGGCCAATTCAATCCCCTCTAAGGCCTATTTCAACGACATCAACTTCCAGATCATCAAGCACACTAAACAAACTTTGGTGGGAACCTGCTTCAAAGATCTATTTGCCAATCGCAATAGAAGTTCCAGCCACAACAGCCACAACGACGACAATGACGACAACTGCTACTACATGAAGCCGTTGAAATTTCACGCCATAAACGATTGCTCGTGGATCGCTATCGCCGTCTTCGAGGAGAAAGATGAAAAATTTGAAGAAAACGTCAAATCGGTCTTGGAGAATATTTTGAAAGGTTTGAAAAATTAGTGAAATGACGTCATTCATGTTCGTCATCGGAAAGCACATTCTTTACTCTCGTTACTCATCATATCGGTTGGAAATTTCGTTCCTTTCTTCTGCTTCTTCGACTTTGTTGTGTTGTACACTTCGTTGTGTTGTACACTTCGTTGTGTTGTACACTTCGTTGTGTTGTACACTTCGTTGTGTTGTACACTTCGTTGTGTTGTACACTTCGTTGTGTTGTACACTTCGTTGTGTTGTACACTTCGTTGTGTTGTACACTTCGTTGTGTTGTACAGTCGTTTGAATGATTAACGACATAATAATATTGAACAATAATATGATCAGGAACTGATTGAGTTGCGTCTAAGATGAAACACTAATTGATTAACATCGCAAATCTGTTTTCCATGTTTGTTAATATTCGTTCATTTCTTCATTCTTTCGTCCAGCCAATCAATCAACCTTCAATCACTCATTCGTCCAATCATTCATTTATATTCATTCACTTAAACATTCAATCAGTCAATCATTCCAACAATCGGCTATTATTGGCTATTGAAGATGACGTATTTGTACCACGTGATCAACACACCTGAAACTTTGCTCACCTGATTAATCGATTATTGACCACCATTTTTGAAGACTGAGACAATGATGGTGACGTCATAGAAGATGGTAGTGATGTTGTTGCTGATGATGATGATGATGACAAAAATTCATTTCATCATCATCATCGTCGTCGTCTTCATCGTCATCATAAATGGTGTCATAATCATTATTATTTCTAAGGCTTGAGACGAAGATTCAAATGTGGCGTCACATTTATTATTTAAGTTCACTTTTCTACTTTTAACCTTTACCATCCTCATCATCACCATCCTCATCATCATCATCATCATCACCATCAACAACATCACCATCAACAACATCATCATCAACAACAACACCACATCATCATCATCATCGTCATCAACAACAACATCATCATCATCACCATCATCATCAAGAAAATTGATTTTCTTGATAAGCTTATCAGAATTGACGCATCAATGCTTCTCACTTTCCTTTATTTGGTTTCATTCTTTCGTTCATTCGTTCGTTCATTCATTTGTGTGTTAATTCATTTATTCATTCATTCATTCATTCATTCGTTCGTTCGTTCGTTCGTTCGTTCGTTCTTTCATTCATTCATTCATTCATTCATTCATTCATTCATTCATTCATTCATTCATTCATTCACTCATTCATTCATCATTCATTTATGCGTCCATCCATCAATCAATCAATCAATCCATCAATCTTCATAGACGTTGTAAAATTCGATCCGCTGACAGCAGTTAACAGTTGGACAGGGAAAGATCACGAGACCAGCGATATCTCAACTGTGATTGGTCGCCGAATTAAGGGTTATCGACTCTGATTGGTTGAAATGGGGTCCAGTAGAAATGGCGCCATCGTAAATTATCGTTGCACCAGATAATCTAATTAGTTTTTCGTTGAGTCGTCGGGCGGACCGGCCAATGATTTATTGTGGCTCTGCTCTTCAATGGAATGCAGTATGTATGTGTTGGCTGTTGTTGTTGCTGTTGTTGTTGTTGATGTCGTTGTTGTTGTTGCTGCTGCTGTTGTTGTTGCTGCTGCTGTTGATGTTGTTGTTGTTGTTGATATTGGCAGCATTCTTATTTTTACTCTTGTGTTTGACCGTCTTTTATAACAGTACCAGAATACGTAATTGGTACGGCGTGTACGCATTTATTGTGTATACAGAGCGCGTATAATGTGTATATTTGTGTATGTATGTATGTCTGTCTGTCTGTCTGTGTGTCTTTATGTGTGTGTGTATCTGTATGTGTGTGTATGTCTGTATGTGTGTTTATGTGTGTATACATGCATGTGTATGTATATGAACGTGTAGAAGTCTTGGTGTCAACAAACACTGAAGCGTTTGAGGCAGACATTTTTCTGTTATTTATTGCAGATATAAAATTGTGTATGTATGTATGTATGTGTGTGTGGGTGTGTGTGGGTGTGTGTGTGTGTATATATGTATGTGTGTATGTATGTATGTATGTGTGTGTGTGTGTGTGTGTGAGTGTGTGTATATATGTATGTGTGTATGTATGTATGTATGTATGTAGGCATACATACAAAACAACAAAAATAATAATAAAAAATACAAATGGTGTCTTGTGATAAATTTAATGCAATTGAGCGAGGCACATCGCTTCCATGGCAACGAAGGAGGAGGAAGTGAGAGGGAAAAAAAACTAAAAGTCGTAAAGAACCTTGTTAACTTTTTGTTGTTATTATTATTATTGTTGTTGATGATGATGATGATGGGGGTGATGATGATGGTGGTGATGATGATGGTGGTGATGATGGTTTTGGTGGTGATGATGATGTTTTTTGATTTAAAAGATTTTCCACAAACGATCAAAACAATGAATGAGTTGAATAAAAGAGTTGAAAATTATAAAAATGACGAGAGAGAGAGAAAGAGAAAGAGAGAGAGGGAGAGAGAGAGAAAAAGAAATAAAAGATTAAAACCCACGCCACTTTCATTAGTGTAAAAAGTTCAAGGTCGAGAGCAGATTTTCTCAACCAATCATATGCCCGGCACACTCTTCGATTTAACCAATCACGTTAATTGGGTCATACCGGGTCACTTGATTGACCTATTTTACTTTTCCAGATTGTTTGATGGCGTGAGTGGGTTTTTCCATTAAATAATTATATAACGGGTTTACGCACTTTATACATATACATATATATATATATATATATATATATATATATATATATATATATATATAATTATATATATGTATATCAACGTTGTTATCCTTGTCGTCACCATCATCACCAACCATATCTTCATCATCAAAAGTCGCATAATTAATAAAAATCGGAAATGGATTATCAAAAATTTGAAAGGCATTTCCGGATCACGTGTTTGGCCACTTCCGGCTGCCCGCTGGCTATCAACCTTCAAACATGTGTGTGTGCCTGTGTACAAATTTTGCTTAGAAGATTTACAGTTACATACAACACGTACACACACTCATACATACAACATACATACATACATACAACATACATACATACATACATACAAAGTGTTAATCCATTTGTTACTTGATGTTTGACGGTTCAGTGTCACTCATCATGTTTTGGTTTTAACATACATACATACATACATACATACATACATACATACATACATACATACATACATGCATACATACATACATGCATACATACATACATACATACATACATACATACCTACGTACATACATACATACATACATACATACATACATACATACATACATACATACATAAATACGTACATACATACATACATACATACATACATACATACATACATACATACATACATACATACATACGTACATACATACATACATACATACATACATACATACATACAAACAACATACATACATATATACATTCATACATTATAGATGCTTGTTTATTTGTTTAGCTCTTCATATGATTATCTGATCGAGCCAACATTAGTGAATCACAATCAGTGTCATCAGCATCATCGTCGTCGTCATCATCATCGTCATCACCATCGTCATCATCATCATCAACAACAACTGCAGATGAGGCTCAGTTGGTTGTTAGCATTTGCTATAGAGTCTTATAATATTGAAAAATTCATGGCGGGCGATAATAAATGCCTCGCTGCCACCGGCGACAGAATGAAGCGCTAGAAAAATTAATGGATAAATACATAAATATATTAATAACAAAGAAATAGAATAAATTAAAAAATTAAAGACGAACGGATGAACGGGTGAACGAACAAACGAACGAACGAACGAATGAATGAATGAATGAATGAACGAATGAATGAATGAATGAATGGATTTCTAAATTAATTGGAAAACAATAACAAAATCCCACAAACACCTGTAAATAATTGTAAATATCAACCTCAATCATCATGTGAATAAATTAATTCCTCAATTAATTAATTAACTAACTAATTAATTAATTAGTTAATTGTGATTATAATTGATTATTAATTAATTATTTAATAATTATACTACTGGCTAAATAATAATGACATCTGATTAACACAGCTACTGATACTGAATGAATGAGTGAATGAATGAGTGAGTGAATAAGTGAATGAATGAATGAGTGAATAAGTGAATGAATGAATGAGTGAATGAATGAATGCGAAAATTATTGACATATTGGTAGCTGACAAATAAATATGCTTACCTTTTTATATTACAAACATTTATTTATTACTACCACAACAACAACTATCACCACTAATACAACTACTACTACTACTACTATTACTACCACCGCCACCACCACCACCACCACTACTACTACTACTACTATTACTACTACTGATACTACTACTACTACTACCACTACAGCCACAACAACAACACTAACAATGACGTCACCACCATTTTGACAAAATAGCATCCGTTTATCATTGTTAGACGGACCAAAAGATATTTATATATTAGGACATACCCCGACCACGCAGAGAGCTCCCTGTATATATATACATATATAAATATATATGTATATAAATATATAAATATAAATAAATATATATATATATATATATATATATATATATATATATATAGAGAGAGAGAGAGAGAGAGAGAGATTGGAAGAACGGATATAAGCTTGAAGAATCATAAGATATATTAGCATCATATTATATGAAGTGTGTGCATGCTAATGTATGTGTTTGTATGTGATTGCATGTGTTTGTATGTGATTGCATGTGTTTGTATGTGATTGTATGTGATTTTAGGTGTTTGTATAAGTTTGTGTGTGATTGTATGTGATTGTATACATATGCTTGCGTGCATGTGTGTGTGCGTGTGTGCGTGCGTGCGTGCGTGTGTGTGTGTGTGTGTGATTCAATTTCAGCACAACAACAACATCATCATCATCATCAACATCATGGATTGCAATTTGCATTTTGACAAGAGCATTTTGGAGGGTTTTCATTGATTTTATATTCTCCAAATCATCGTTCGTCTTTCATCATCATCATCATCATCATCATCCTCGTCATCATCATCATCATCATCATCATCATCATCATCATCAAACATCATTTTCATCCTAATCGACAGCATCATCGTCAGCGTCATCATCATTAAGGTGACGTCATTCCTCAATAACTCCTCATCACACGCTTAGTAACGCATAATTTCTTGACGAAATAACGAATGTTTCTCCATTTATTGTAAAACTATTCACTTCCGGCGGCCAGTAAATCACGTGATACTCTCGAATACTGTGACGTCACTTAAGATTGCTATGACCTCATCTAAGTTGCTATTTTTATCGATCCCTTGATTACGTCATCATATTATTCGACCAGTAAAGAGAAATAAACTTTAAATTACTATTCTATTTTTCTAACAAACTAATTAAAAAGATACATAAACATTTTATTTCATCGTATGATTTTATTCACTACATTCATTTTATAACTATCTTCAAATCTATTAAACATTGGTTTAATTTTTTAATAAATGTGAAGCTCCTCAATATTTTATTTTCAACCTGGCAACACGTTACTTCCGTTTAAGTCCTCGATCAACTTTTTGCGATAGGATTTTCTCCGAAAATAAAATGGTTAGTCCGGCGTAGATTTTTGCAATTTAGATCTAATTTTAGGATTTTATTTAATATCTTAAATTTGATTTTATTGTTGTTGAAAACGATTTTGTCAAACCGTTGTTATCCCATGCACTCATACAAATAATTGAGCCTAACACCCTACCTAACCTAACTAACCTCCTAACCCACTGATTTTTTCATGCTCGCCCCATAAAAAGTGAATTTTTGTAATTTTAATGATTTATAACAATATTATTAATCTCAGGACACTCTGCCAATTGATGCCATGAACAGGTACGTCAGTCCGATAAATCCGGCAGTATTTCCCCACTTGACATTAGTCTTGCTAGCCATAGGAATATTTTTCACTGCCTGGTTTTTCGTGTTAGTGAAAGAGTTGATGTTTTATTTATTTATTTTTGTTGAAAATTGCCATTGTTTACTAATTTTTCATTAATCAAAAGTTTTCTACATTTCAGATATGAAGTGACATCATCCAAATACACCAGAGATATATTCAAAGAGATCGTTGTATCGTTGGTGGCATCAGTTTTTATGGCTTCTGGAGTCCTTTTTTTGTTACTTTGGGTCGGAATTTATGTATGAGCGTTTCTGTCCTAGCCTAATTAGCTGAAATTTAGAATGTTCTTTTGGTTTCTTCATCTTGGTTAATGTTTGAATGTCTTGTTTCATTTACTTTGTTGTATGATTTCGATGGCTGTTAAAATGTTATTCCATTATAATAAATAAACAAATTGTAGTAACTGTTTCATTTTTTGTGGTGGTTGTGTCCAAAAATATTTCAAAACTTTAAAATTGACTGACTAACTAGCTGGTTGAGAAAAATGTTAACTAATTTACATTTGATTAGTTGAGGAAAAGATATTCTTTGCAATTAGTTCAATTCTTTCACTTATAATTTGTTTTGTTGTAAAGTTTCATAGAATATTATCTGATTAATAGAATATGATTCCATTAAAAATATCAAATTCAAAATTCACAATAAAAAGATATCACAGTGTTTAAATAAGTTTTTAAAAAGAATTCACTAATTCTAAAAAAATAGCGTTAGAGCATATGAAACATTAGGGGATCAGTTCTTTTCACTCTTCTACTTTCTTTTAGCCATTTTTTCTTCTTTCAACTGTATTTTTATAAAATTTTCATTATATTTTCATAAAATTATGTACTGTCACGTAATTTAGAAGTTGTACTTTATTAGTCATTTGTGAAATATGCTTCAATAAAATAATACAGTGTAAAAGCTGCTAATTAATATGATGAAAGTACTGGAATTGCTTTAATTTATGTACATAATTTTAGAAAAATTATAGCTAAAATTAGATATTTATTATAAATAGTAAATAAATTAAAGTCGCAAATTAGTTTTATTATGAATTTATACGTTACTCTTTGTTGGTATCTTCTTTCATAATAATCAAGTTCAGATTCGCCTGGCTGTTTCATGCTTGCTTCAAACTCTGCCATCTCACTATCTCCTAGAATTTTTGAAAAATTTTTTTCATAATTAAAACATTAATTTTCAATTACGATATACTATAATTTTACGAATTTTATGTTATAACTAAATTATCATTCAGTCCATACCAGGAATCGAAATATACCATAAGTCATTGCCATGCACCGTCCTTTCGTACGATAAATCTCGTATTAAAGGTTTCTTGATAAGTTTAGTGCCGTGGTGAAATGTAAAATACGTGCATACATACCACCAACCGGTACAACACATAACAATGAATATATATAGAGTTGAGACCTCGAGTGCTAATATGTTTCTTCAGGAATGGATGTTCACTTGATGTCATTGGCTTGTTCAGTTCATCCAAGCTTGGAACACCTTTCAAAATTGAAAAGTGTCAAATCAATTTAATTTAAATATAATAGGGTCAATAAACTCTTAATTTTTATTGAGCTCCGAGTCAAGAAACTCTCTCTCTCCCTCTCCCCTCTCTCTATTTGTAAAAGAGGTGACATAACATATATACCTGCCCCGCTAGGGTCCAGTCTACAATATCCATCCAAGAGGGAACTGAACCCCGTAATGCCACCCATGGCTTGGTAAGGTACCTCCTGGCCAACCGGGTGACCGCGGGCTATCCGTTCATCTTTCGTCTCCACGATCATCTTATGTTGCATGTACGTTTGTCCACACGGGCATGTGTAGGAACTTTTAAAGCCCTGACATGTCGAACATGACGCTTGCAAGGAAATTTTTAAAAGATGGGCGTTGAAATTTTAAAGTAAAACGTTTCATTTATTAGTTTTCTATAATATTTTTATGGTTAATTTTAATTTTTTAATGTTTTTAGCGAAATATTCTCCATAAAAATATATACTTTAACTGAATTTTAACTCTAATAACCAGCTTTGCATTTGTAAGGGTGGAGGACACTGTGCTGAGAAGCCTGGTGCTTGCATGTGCACCTCACTACAGAGCCGCCTCTTCTCGGGATGTAGTGATAGGAAGCGCATCTGCAGTTCTTCGCCCTACATGGCAGCATTATTGGCCGGTCGGTTGGAATTTCTTTGAAATCCGTTTTATGATCTCTATATCTGATTTATTTAAAAATAACTTCAAGAGTTACACTGATTCGAGTATGGTTTTGAAAAAATCATTAAATATGTTATTCGTATGCCTCAAGCGTACATTAACGAATGATCGGTTAATTATTTTAAAAATTCATTAAAATACAAATTGGTAAATGGTTAATTGATGTTATCTGACCTGTGCTCACAGAAGCATTGTGTTTCAGGTCCTATCAGTTTGCAGTCCATTCCATCCTCATTCGTCCAGCTAGTATATAATCTATTCATCATTCTCTGTTATTTTATTATAAATAATTAATTTATTGTTAATTTCTTTAATTATATTATTATTTTTTTATTATATTATTATTAGTTCATAATTTACTTGAGGAAGAACCCTTTTCTTATATTCTTCATATTGCTCTGGTGTAAATGTCTTGCCACCATCGTCATCTCCGACAATTCTTATTACGTTTTAATATGATTAAAATCAACATAAAGTGTGAATAAAATTAAAATATATTTAATATTTCTACATAATATTCTTAATTTTCACACAATTTATCAATAATTATGATAGGTATATTTAATGATTGTATAAGCATTGAAACGCACAGTTTGTATTCACGGTAAGCGTCGATAGATGCATTGGCATTACAAGGGATCTTCAAATGAACCATTCGGTCGTTCATTCTGAATTTTAAATATTTTATTAATAATATAAATAAATCACATTCTAATTATAACAAAGACGGGTCTTAATTATAGTAACTAATTTATACAAATTTATTATTTACTCAATCGATCAGCTGTTAATGTTTACAAGTGGAAACTATGGTAACAAAGACATTAGATTAGAATTTAATTTTTTTTTATCAAAGTCATTTCCATAGTTTTCAATAATCATTTAAATGAAAGAAATTTGGGCTTAATATGTCTCTAGACCGTAGTTACATGGTTTAACGTCTGTTTTTTAATTTTAAAAAGCAAGAGAAATTAACAGGAGATTATTATTAAGATTCAATTTTTAAATATTTTCAATTTAATTGTGAAAACTTGATCCTAAAGTTTGAAAACTAAGTCTGCCATTTGAAAATATCCCAATGATTTGTGTTGTCGTAGTTGACGGTGTTAGTTAATGATGGATTTATGTTTTCAAAGACGCTAGGCCAGGGCAAGTGATCTGTGATGTTTTCAATCTTTTCCAACAAAATATTCTCCTTATCCGTGTTCGAGTCTGAGATCTCGTTGACTTTCTTCTCGTCTCCCCAATCGGAATCACGTTTAAAGGCGAGTTCCGGGTTGGACCGCATCTGCCACTCGATCACTTTTCTCTCTAAACTTGTTTTCTCATCGACGCCGACAGCTGAATTCTCACTGAATTTCATGTAGTCGACAGTCGACGGTTGCTTCTTTGATTGTTTCCTGTTTAGAAATACTTTCAAATACTCATTTGATTTTGTGAGACGTGGTGCGAATGAGTTCTTCTTCTTCGATTGCGTGAACCGAAGTCGCATTTTTGAAGTTTTTGAACGAGTGATCGTGGCGTGACTGGGCTGCCTGACGAGACTGTACTTACTGAATAGATTCCTCTTCAATGCTATCTTCTGTATGTGTTCGTTCTGGATGTATGGATTGTGTCTGCGGACCTTCACGTCGTAATGTTTCAAATCAATTAAATGAAAAGTTAAACGAGCTATTTTGGATATCAGATGTTAAAATATTTGAAATACTGAAAAATATTTAAAATAATTTGACTTGCTTTTTTACATATAGCTTCGTGTCGTTCAATTTTGAACGGAGAAAAACTTTTATGACAGTATGGACACTTTATTCGGTTCTCCAATGCAGCTCTCCACTGTATGTCCATGATCTCTTGTCTTCGAAACGAAAATTATTGAAAGAATTTTCAGAAAATTTCTGATAGATAAAATAAATTTTACTTATAATATCATAGCAATGTGTTTTTCATGCAAACCTCGTCAAATTATCCACCATATTTTTGATTAATATCTGAGGTTTTTTCGGTAGAAATCTCTTCAGATGTTTTGGCAGTTTCGAGTTTACTATTTTCCACTTAGCGAGGCATTGTTTTTCGTGAATGGGAAGCGATGCGATGGTGTACTGGTTGCCACATATGTAGCAGAAACACATTTCAGGTGCCAATTTTTTTACCCTTTTTGGTCGATCGGCTTGCGACTTTCTTTGTAGTTTTATTTTTTTTCAACTTTAATAATGTTCAATTCATAAAAGATCGAGTTTGAGTGAGGTAAATTTTCAAATTAAGGATTTGAAAAAATTGTTTCATTACTCACTTGGATGGTTTGAAATTATCATGATGGTAACGTGGGAGTTTGGAATTGTTGAATTCTGTAGCTTTTTGTGATAATTCGTTGTATCTGTTGGATAGAGACCTCAGGCACTGGTTGTAGTGGCCTATCATTCGCTTTGGTGACACGTTGTCCCCGCATATGTCACAAAATATTTTTTCATTTTCTACCAGTTTTGAGTTTGGTAATTGGATTCTGGAAATTCGTTGAAACAAAAAATTAAACTACTGGAATAAAATTCCTTAACTAAATTATTAATGTTTCACTAAAAAAGTTGTATTTATAATAAATGGTTAATAAAAAACACTGCGACCTGGGTTCTGTCACAACTCTTGAATTCTTGCCAATGACGACGATGCTGTGACAATTATTAGTGAAACCCTCACTTTGAAGATTGACAGATTTGTTGACGATGCACGGTTGATGCTCCTGGAAGATATCAGTCATTTTTGGAGAGTCATTCATTTTGAAGACCGACTCAAAATTCTTCGACTCGTCTTTTGCATCACCAATCCTTCCCTGCTCTGAAATAAATAAACAATTTCATACATTTTTCAAGAAAAAAATTTTTAAACAACTCATCAATTTTTATTTTACCATGATTGAGAATTTTATTAACAGTAGTGGCTGTGGTAAACGTTTGGCATAGGTCGTAGCTACGCAGTTTGAAAGAACAAAAAGAATAACGCTTACTGCCTTTGTAGGCACCACCATTGCCACCGACAAACTGGTCGCCATCATTTTCATCCGGTAATGTATCTTTATTATAAAACGTTATACGTCTGTTTTGGACCTTTTTGAGACATTCTCGTTCATGGGCTTTTAAATTGCTCAGAGAGCATAGCTCGCCACATATACAGCATGGCATCTGCTGCTGTTTTCGTTGCATATTTTGTCACATACACTCTCGCGGGGGCCTAAATTTTTATTGATTGCCTGATTATTTGCTTTTTAATTCGTTTTAAGTTCGTAAAATTTTAATTTCAAATTAAACTGAGGAGATGTTTATTTGAAGCATATAAATGATTGTCTTGTAGATTCTGTTGTCTTTTTCTTTATTTTTCGTCTCAGTTTATTAATTGTTTTTCTGGAATTTTTTAGGATGATGTTGTTATGACAACTTCTGAAATAAGTAAATAAATAAATGAAAAAAGACGCTCAGTTGAAAAGTAGATTCGTATATTCTCTTTGCTCGTCTGCTGGTTGACTCTCCACCTTAAACATCAACATAGTTACAGATAGTTAAAAATATAGACGAATTTGTAATACACGCATGCATGCATACATACATCCATCTATTCATACATCCATACATACGTACATACATACGTACATACATACGTACGTACGTACATACAAACATACATACATACATACATACATACATACATATATATATATATATATATTATTAGAGACAAGACAATACACAATAGGCAGTTTATAGTAAAAAATTTCAAGTCAGCGCGTTTTAACTTAGACTAATAAAATGTTTCAAAACATAGCAGCAAACATTACGCTAAAAATTTGAAGAACGAAACAAAATTGAGCGAGAAACTTTTGAAATTTAAATAAAACATTGAAAATAGATTTTGATTGGTACTTATCCAAAAGGGCTTGCAGTTTGTGGTTACAACAGTTAGCTAACACACAAATTTTAGCAAGTTTAATTACTGTATTTGAATTTTCTTAAATAATATAATCAATTCATACATAGATTGTACAATAGTTTTTATTGACAAGTTAGTTTTTAAGCACAAAAAAGTAATTTTAACTTTAAGAAATGTCCAACTAAGCTAAAAGTATGTCTGAATCCATTTTTTGTAGCAATCTGGAGGGTGAATTATTTACACTGGCAAAGTCCAGGAGTCCATTTTTACGAAGAGAGGTTGAGAATTCATTCACGCTGCCTTCCCCGCCAAAAATGTCATCCTCACAATTTGCCGGGTCGTCATTTCTTCCTTGCGACGCTGCATATTTATGGGCATACATCAAATCGTAAGGATTCAACGTGAATGTGCGGTCCAGACTTTCGAAGTTGAACGTACAGCTGGGATTGAGAGCCCAATCCAACACTGGAAAGTCCGATTGCTCCAAGCGGGCAGCAAAATTTTCATCGTTCTGACTGTTGTAAATGCTGTTTCGTTGATTACGCTCTGCATTCATGGCATCAACTGCAGCTAACAAATCGTCACTGTTGTCTAATTTTAATTTTTCAAAGAGCATGTTGATGCCTCGGTCCATGTCTCTGTTTGACGATAGGCTCGAATCGTCAGAGTCGCTCGAATCAGCTGAACTGTTGCCGTAGTCGTCAGAGCTGAACTCGATCTTGTGGTCACAAGCCAGACTGCTGCTGTTTAATAATTTCGTTATTGATTCGCTCTCGAATCTCAAGTAATCTCCATTCCTAAACGCTTCGACATCAAATTTGTCGTCATTTTGCATCTCGGAGGCGACGTGGCGGACATCCTGGCACTGCTTCCTTTCGCTGTTGTGGTTGCTGCTGCTGCTGCTGTTGTTCTCCTTGTTGCACAGATCGACACATTTCTTCACAAACGTGCCTCCGCTGTTCAGTGACCTCCGAGCATCCCTGTGCAGCTGCTTGCCGTTATTTGCATTTCCGTTGGCGTTTTTATCGAGAGCCTGAGCGGTTGATTTGCCCCGATTTTGTTGTTTTTGATTTTGCTGAATGGAGAACAACAACTCCTCTTCCGAAGCGTTCAACGCAAGTATATCCACTTCGCTTTCCCTGTTTACTTCCAAATCGCTGGCCTGGCTCTCGGCACAGTCTGAACCGGAAGCCGGCGAAGAAAATTCAAATTTACGACTAGGACATTCCAGGTTGTTGGCGTAAGTTGTAAAATCTATCTTATCGACGATGTCTCTATCTGTGGCGCTCGAATCACTGGATACATTGGCTTCAGGTGGCATTTTATCATCCTTTGCTGAGCAACTGGCTAGTATTTCCGTCAGGTTGATCTCAGTGGAGTCGTCCTTGTAGTTCGGGGTCGAAACTTTTTTTCGTTCGTCGCTCATTTTTGTGATGTTCTCATATAAATGAGAATCTTTCTGTAGTTGAGCCTTCAAATCAGCATCCTTCCTACGAACTATGTTCTCTGCATTGTTAGCCTGGAGGCTGTTATTCACTTTGCCGTCAAATTTCGATGATTTGATTTCGTTTGATTTTTTAGATTTGTCGACATTTTGATCAAAGAAGATTAAATTTTCCTTATCGAATCTCGTATCAATTTCGTTGGACCTCCTAGCAGGGGCATTGTAATATTTGATGTTGGAGAATGGAGGCGGTGAGAAGGTCTTCTTTTGATTCTTCAACTGTTTGATCTCGGCTTCGATCATCTCTCGCTTTTCAAGCAGCAGACGTTGGTGCTGGTCCACCCTACTTCCGTAGTCTCTCTGCAGCTCACTCACGCAGTTCGACCTATCCGATGAATACTTAACTGCCTTCGAATCTTTAGCACAGTTGTTATTGCTGTTAACGTTGTTGCTGTTGGTGATATTTACTGGATAGTTTTTGTCCATATATCGGTTAAGTTTCTTGCTGCTGATGCTGTTGTTATTATTGTTCGTCCCAACGCTGTGCACCCTCCCCCTGGTGATGAACTCATCCAAGATGCATGTAGGAAGGTGCGAGGAATTTCTTTTCGCCGGGATTGGTGGTGAAAAGGCGTGGTCGTTGTCGCTACTGTTTCTGCTGCTGCGCCTGTTTTTGTTGTTAAAATTGTTGTTAATGTTGTTGTTGTTGTTGTTAAAATTGTTGTTGATGTTGTTGTGTTGTTGTTGTGGTGGGCTCTTAGCGTGTCTAGGATTAACTGGAGGGTAGTTATCGTGGATCTGTTTGCTCTGCTGCTTCTGGTTCACTTTCTGAAGTTGGACATCATTGCTGCTGACGAGGTTGTTTGTGTTTTTGCTGCTATTACTGGCTTTGAAGACATCACCTCGTTGCTGGTGTGGTGTCGCAGCGTGTGGCGATTGTTCGCGTGTGGCTGGCGGCGGTTCAACTGAGGCCGAATTCGCCCGGTGTTTCAGGAGTATCTTTTCAGCGTGCACACCTTGGCTGGGAACTGGTCAGAAGTACAAAACAATACGTTGAAAAGAGGTTCATAAGACTGTCTATTCAATTCTATTAAACATAAGAGATGATCAAGTGACATTGGAATATCAATTAATGAATGTTTCTACACGCCAAAATTAGGAAAACAGTTTTAAATTGAACGAAAAAAGTTTAATTTATAGTCTTCTAACCATTAATCGCTGAGTCGGGACGTTTTTTGTTGACGTGTTGTTGTTGCTGTTGCAGATGTTCATTCATGTTGTTGATGTTGTTGTTGTTGATGTTGTTGCTGTTGTTTTTGTTGTTGTTGTTGTTGATGTTGTCAAATGTTTTTTGCTTACAACTTTTGCCATGATTGTCATTCTTACTAAAGTTATTATTGACGTTACCGGACTTTTCATTCATATTATCATTATTATTATTATTATTATTATTATTATTATTATTATTATTATTATTATTTCTAATTTTCTCAACGCCATCATCCTTATCATCACTAGTTTGTCTTCCATCATCAGCATCATCATCTTTATCGATCCCAGCATCATCTTCGTCGTCGTCATCATCGTTGTTGGTTCTGCTGCTTATAACGTAGCAACTCTTCCTCTTCTGAAGCTCGCCGTTGCACGGCGGCAGAGGTTCCTTCATCCTTCTGGCTGTTTGAACTTCACTGGTGCACGAAAATCTTTTGTCGTTCTTATCTGAGGGAGTTGGCTCGCTTATGGTTTGTGGAATTCTTGATTTCAAATCATTTACTTTGTTTGTTTGTTCTTTACCGATGTTGTTGTTGCTGTTGTTGTTGTTGTTGTTGTTGCTGATGCTGCTTGTTTTAACTTCAATGTTGCTGTGCTTCTCTTTATATTTGTTCAATTTTTTGACATTTTCATTTTGCTGCTGTTGAGTGGTTTCTGTGGTAGCGGCAGTGGATCTGACGTAGTTGGCCACAGACGGCGACTGCAGTGCTGTTGAAGTGGTCGCAATGTGGCACGCACTCGAGAAGCAGTCGTCTAAATCGTAGTTGGCATTGGAGTATAAATGGATAGCTTTACCGAAAATGTTATTACTACTACTGCTGTTGTTGTTGTTGTTGTCAGTGCTGTTGTTGATGATGTTGTTGAATATGTAGCCTTTTTCGCTAGCGTTTTTTAAGAGTTCTTTGGCGCAGTAGAGTTGGCCGTTGCAGCAGACGACAAGGTCGCTGACGCCTCTGCTCGAGCGGCTGATCTCAATGCCGCTATCTCGATCGGCCAGTTTTGCGAATCCGCCATTTAATTTCTGCATCATCTTGTCGGCCATCTTGTCTTCTTGAAATAGTTTCATGTCGCACAATTTGTCTCTTCGTTCGGCGGAAGTGGAGGGAATGACGACATTCACGTATTTCCGGCACGGTCCGCTGTCCATCATGTTGTTGTTGTTGTTGATGATGTTGTTGTTGTTGATGTTGTTGTTGTTGATGTTTTTTGAAGAAATGCATTTCTCAATGTCGTTGTTGTTCTTATCTTTCGCACTTTTAGAACTGGAGTTCGTATAAAGTGCGGATGTAACGGCAAATAACGGGTTGGAATGAATCTGTTGCATGCTGCTTTGGACGCTGTTGATGACGTTGTTGATGACGTCATTGTTGTTGTTGTTGTTGTTAGTGAATTTAACGCTGTTGTTGATGTTGTCTTGCGGTGTTGTTGGTAGTTGTTGTTGGCCTACCATGAAATGATTTATATGCGTTACATTCTCATACAGACGATCGGTTTGCACGCAAGAATCATTCCTCTGTGTGCGGATGTGTGTATGTGTGTATGTATGTATGTATGTATGTATGTATGTATGTATGTATGTATGTATGTATGTATGTATGTATGTATGTATGTATGTATGTATGTATGTATGTATGTATGTATGTACGTACGTACGTATGTATGTATGTGTGTGCGTATAAACATATACAATAGTGTTTACACAGTTTTTTCATTACGTAAGTAGACTTCGTATTGATAAATTGCATCTGGGCTTCGAAAACATTGATGAAAAGTCATTACAAATTTTTCTCACTTTAATTTCTTTCATAGGTTGCATTTGTAGTTGCTGCTGATGTTGTGGCTGCTGTGGCTGCTGTGACAATCTTAGCTGCTGCTGCTGTTGCTTCTGTTGTATGTAGCTGGCCCTAACAGCTGTCCCGTTACAGCTTTTTTTGCTGTTGACGTTGTTGTTGACGTTGTTGTTGTTGTTGTTGTTGTTGCAAATTAGGGATGTGGCAGTCGTAGTAGTCGTTGTCGAACCGGTCCTGGCTTGTTTGAATCTACTAATGTGAATGATGTGAAGTGATGGAGACCGTGTTTAATCGACCCGATTCAAATAACAGCCGTGCAATTTTGTACATCCCAAATTTTGCAACGTGAAAAATTTTGTTTTTAAATTTACGGAAAATTATTTTCCTAACTTACCGCCTTGTCAGGAAGACGATGACGACAATGAAGAGGAAGATGAGGATGACGATGAGGAGCAGTGACGTCATAACGAGACTCTCCAGTCGCTTTTCGAATTTTTCATCTATTCAAAATCGGTCACCGATTAAATTTAATTCTTGTAAATTTAAAAATTTGAAAAGAGCGAGACAAGAGTGCGTTCTCCAAAGTCTCAATAATACTTTCACCATTCGATGACGTCATAGTTTTATCCAGTGACGTCACTACTTCTTAAAAATTTTCAAGCAATGAGCGAACGACGACTAACATTTGTCTCTCATCAGGATGACGTGTTCGACCACGTTGAACTCCTGACAGCGCGGACCTGTGTAGTTTTGTCGGCACCTTTAAATTAAAAAAATAAATATCATAATTAATAGTTATAATTTAATAAATGATATAATTATAATTTTAATTATTATCGTGAAGTGACTTACTCGCAAACTTTAGCCCCCGTTTTGAGCTGACTATGGCATGTTCCTCCATTAAGACAGTAGTCCAATACATCGCAGGGTCCGTATTGTGGGATGTCGTTTATTTCTGCGTTCATTTATTCATTCATTCATTCATTTATTCATTCATTCATTTACTCATTCTTTTGTTCAATAATTCGTTCTTTCATTCATTCATTCGTCTGTGATCTAAGTTAGAATATCATGAGTTGTAGTGAGAAAACATTTCAAACATACTTTTGTTTACCATTATGTGGCTGTTCATTTATTCAATCTTCCATATTTCATCCATTCACTCATCTTTTGATTCCTTCATTCACTCCCACTCCATCAATCCGACTCACGTGACTCGGTAAGAACGATGACGTCAACTCCCTCGCTTATGACGTCACCAAGAATATTTTTAGCGCTGCACTGGAAGATTCCTGAATCTGACGACTTGATTTTGTCGATGTGCAAAGTCGACGTGCCATCCCTTAAATTTGTTGTAATCGAATTAATTTTTGAACTTTTTTTAATTTTTATAAGTCAAAATGTTTGCCTCTAATTGACGTATGAACATTCGATCAAAATAGAATCGAAATCAAACTGACCGACTATTTTTTACCGATATTCTTTTAACTGTAGTATTGAGAACATCTCCATTTTTAAACCACGTGACTAGTGGGGCGGGTCTTCCGTGTGTTACACAACGCAATAACAACTTCTGATTAGCTATCACTTGTTTGCGCTTCTCCGCCATTGGTTCGATCGTTGGCATGGATGCTAAGTTTGGGGACAAAATAGGGATGTACAAATATCTGATGATTATCTATCACCGTCATACACACACAGTACAAACACACATGTGCAAATAATACTTACAGCAATTCTTGCACGAGAACTCGGCCACACTTCTCAGAGCTCTCCTTGAGGTCAGCTCGGGGAATTGATCGATCTCAAAATATGGTCTGACGTCACTTCCGACAGGCAGGTCATCATTATCATTGCCTCCACCACCATCATCATCATCATCTTCTTCATCTTCCTCCTCGCTATTATTGTAGGCGTTCATTTTACTCTTCTTATTCCGCTTGTTGTCGTTGTTTTTGACATTTATGACGCTGTCGTTGTCCGCATCATCAAACACGTCATGAACTTCATCGTCATCATCACCGCCATCATCATTTTCATCGGCGTTGTAATCGTAGGACGGTGACGACGACGATGACGTCATAAGGACGTCATACGTGGAAGGGTTGAATTTGAGGAACATGATGTAATTGGTGCCGAGCTGGATCGACGGTGTACAACTGCCGGCATCCTCCTTCCTGCCGAACACTCCGACAACTAACATCGGGTAGTTGTTGTTGTTTTTGTTGTTGTTGCTACTTACGCTGTTGCTGTTTACGTTGTTGTTGTAGATCTGAAATGTTGTTGGTAATTTTTAAATTATAGTTACGGAAAAAAACATCTTGCCAAAGGTTTGGTTAAGTTGAAATAAAAAATCATGAAAGACGTTTTATTACTTGTTTGGTTTTGACGCCAAAAGATACCACACAAACAAACAACTACAATTTCAACAATTTCAACAACAATAACACTACACAGAACCAACCTGCTTCGGCAAGTAACCCTTATAAACAACTCTCGGTTTGAACGTAACGTTAAAATACAACAACGACTTATCACTCTGAAAATTTGAGCGAGAGGCCCGCGACGAACTGTCGTCAATTTTTTTCACCCTCCCTTCTACGATAAGCTTCGAGACGGTAGCCCTAGACGCAACATCGTGTCGCCACTCTTCGCAGAGGCTTCGCGGAGAGACCACTGACCTTTGATGATTTTGCCAGTAGGATGGCTCTACATCGATAGAGGCAGCATTTGTTCGAGATAATGTTGAAGTTGCGGTTGTTAGCAGTAGCAGCAGTAGGCAGTAGTAGATGAAGTTGGAGGTTAGAAACGTTGTGGCTTCTGTCGCTTGTAGTGGCCTGTTTTTTTGAGGTAATAGAAGGTACAGCGAAGTCATTGTGATTTTTTTAAAAAAGAGATTGACACTGTATTGACTTGCAATGACGTTTATATATTTGTCAATGTTGTTGTTGTAGCAGTAAGTTGTCGTCGTCGGCGTTTTGTTGATGTTGTTGTGATGCTTCCTGTGCTCATTGTTGCTGAAATGCACCAGAAATTTAAGAACGAACCGCGAATAGCCTTCAAAATATTTAGACAGAATTTTGCAGTCAAAAATAATCTTGAATAATGAGCCCGAATTTTAACAAAAAAGATCGGTAAAAATAAAAATACTCTTCACAAGCAGGTAGTTAATACTAGCCAGTATTTAAATTACGTATTTAGTAGCAATATTTAGAGTTAGGTAGAGCTGTACGAACAACAGACATACACGTATCGGACAGAACAGCAAAAGCTTATAACATATTAGAAAGCTTTTTGAAGCACACACGGAGCCCGTTTTACCTCATCATCATCATCATCATCTTCGTCGTCATCGTCCTCCCAACTGATGCATCATCACGACAAACACGAAAAGTTCTGAATAATATTTTAGCTACAATTATGATTTACATTACCATTACAATGTACATCATTCACACTTGCATGCACACTATAATCACGAATAATATTACAGCGATGGCTATTCATTAGTAAAATTAAACCCTCCGTTTCATCACTATCTTCGTATTTCCATCCTCTCTATCTTCATCACAATCTCTCCTGCCATCGGCATCATCTTCTTCTACATCATCATCATCAAAACAGCTGCTGTGTAGCTACGTAGCATGTGCAGTGCACAATCTACTGCCTCTACAATCATTTCTCTTCCATGCGCTTGCTCCACACAGACATGTGTGTACACCATTTGTACACATTGGTTACATATATAGGTAGTACGTAATGGTTATTCATACAGAATCACCAATCACCCTTTTCAATCTTACTATTATGTTGACATGTGTACACACACGCACGCAATGCAAACAGCATACGCCATTGATATTTTGCTCGGCTTGGGGATAACACACACATACATTCATATACACACACATACATACACATAGAGATACACATTGCATACACATAACAATTTGCAATACTAACAACCTTCATTCAGATATCTGTCAATACTTTTAGCCCAAACAACAAACCTTCATCCAAAATCCAACAAATATCTATGTACACAAACATATACAGATTACATATATGTACGTATATTGATTTTTAAAATTTTCTGTTTGTATTTGCTTGAGCAATACCGTACTAGATGAAATTTAAGAATGGTTGGGAGATAAAGAATAGATGGGGAAGAAAGAGAGAGGAAGAAAGAGAAAGATGAAAGGAAGACAAATAAAAGACACTGCAATAGTTTTATCAAAGAGATAGTTTTATCAAAGAGAAACCATAAAAATTGTGAGCAATTTTATTACTGCTAACAGCATGGCAATTATACTAGCCTGCAGTAATAGTGGTAACGGATCTGAATTCGCCAAAAATAGCTTCAACTGTCTGCCTCTGAAAAGCGTAACTAGGACTGACAAGGGAAAACCAACTAGAAATTATATCTGTTGTAACGAAAGATTCTCAAGAAAATAACAAAAGCAATATAAATAATAACAATTATTATTATTACAAACAAATAAAACCATAAGAATACCTTTCTTGCCATTGTAATTGCCATCATCGTCCAAGAACGGATCCAGACAACTTTGGAGTAGGCCCAAAATCTGTTAAAATTTTTGCTGGGGAAGGGTAAAAAACACAACGACCCTTTTCGACTTATCTTGCAAATTTCTAGTCAATTTCAATTTTCTACTTAAAACGCTATTTCCGTACGTAAAAACTGAGTTTTAACAGAAATCTATTGCTCGGTTATTCTCATCATCCTTCATCCAAGAGTGAGATGAGAATTTACTATTCGAGTAATGTCCAGTCCGACACAAATAAATAAAAATAAATAAATATAATATAATGACCCGCGATATTTCCAATAAATATCCAATCAATCTTTTAAAATCGAAATTTGTATAAATATGTATACACACATACATATTAAATATATACAAACTTATATATATATATATAGATATATATATATACACATCTATATACATACATACATACAAACAAACAAACGCACACAAACAAACACACACACAAAATAATCATGGATACATCGTAGTCATTCATTGAGCAAAATCAACCACGAATAAACAAACGAAAAGAACTTAAATTTATGTTAAGCTATTAGATAGGGAAGACATTAATGACAACAACAACAACAACAACAAAATAATAATAAATATTTAAAATTGCAATAATATTAACCACAATCACAATCAGATGATAACAACAATAGTGGGAATAGTTTATAAATTATAATAATAAAATTTTAAACAAATATATAAAGTGCTATATAAATACTAATATATAAGTATATATTACACATAACTTAACAACAGAATATTGAATTACTTTAAGCCATACAATTTGTAAAATAACATGTATATTAATGATGATTAATTTAATGTTTATATCAATCAATCAATCGATCGATCGATCGATCCATCAATCAATCAATCAATCAATCGATCGATCGATCGATCGATCGATCGATCGATCGATCAATCAATCAATCAATCAATCAATCAATCAATCAATCGATAGTTTAATTAATTAATCAAACTATAATATAAAATATTAGAACAGAATGAAAACATCTAAATAGAAAGAAATAAAAAAATATTCATCTTCTTCCTTCTCATCATCATCACCACCACCACTATCATCATCATCATCACCACCACAAAGATTGTCATCAGCACTACAGACATCATCATCATCAACATCATCATCATCTTCATTCATTCATTCAGGCAGCTTGTTTTTTAGGCTGGGGTAAGGAAGCTGGGAATTCCATAAACATGTTCGGTATGTTGTTGCCGAAGTAGATTTTGTTATTTAAGGCCAGGGCTTCGTACTTCTTCAACTCCAGGTACTCGGGTGTCAGCATTATCTACAAAGCAGCATATTATTATTTTAATATAATAATAATAATTATCACCATAATTATCTTAATAAATATGGAGACAACATTCATTGATAGATAGATAGATAGACAGATAGATAGATAGACAGATAGGTAGATAGACAGATAGGTAGATAGACAGATAGGTAGATAGACAGACAGACAGATAATTAAATAAGAATTTTCGTCGCTGTTAGTCACCATCGTCCAAATTATCACCATTCACATCTTCATCAATGATTAACATCATCAACAGTACAACACCATAATCGTCGTCGTCGTCATCATCATCACAACATCATCATCATACTCACCTTGTAAGATTCAGCCTGCCTGGATGCTTTGTAATGTTCAGCATCTGCCTTTGCCTTCTCTCTACCCAGATGAGTCATATCTGAAGAGCGCCAGATTACGAATATTGACCATAAATTATAATAATTATTAAAATTAATATTATCATGATGATAATTATTAAAATTAATATTATTATGATGATAATTATTAAAATTAATATTATTATGACGATAATTATTGAAATAATGGCGTAAAAAGTTTCGGAGCGCCTTCAATTTCGGCCATCTTTTGCTCGGATTCCTTCTCCATGATCTTCTGCTCCCAGTGAATCTTTGCCACCTGCGCTACTTTCTCTGCCTCTGAAAATAAATCATCATCATCATCATCATCATAATTCTCATCATCATCATAATTCTCATCATCATCACGTCATTATTCTCATCATCACCATCATCATCGTCATCATTCTCATCCCCATCAGGCCCCAACCGATGACGGCCCTCTTCCTCTCAGTTTCAGCTTCCTTCTCCACGACCTTCTGCCTCTCAACGTAGATCAGCAGCTTCGTCTTCTCCGACTCCCTGCATGGAATTAGCATCATAGTCCAAATTATAATTAAAAACCAACTACACTAACGGCATGTTAATATGAATAAAAACTGGGTAAAAACAACTGCACAAGCTAACTCTAAAAAATCACGAACCACACAACCAGCCATGACAAACAACACCAACAGTTTAGCCCACACCCTATTCTGCACATAGAAAAACAAAGGACATCCCCAGCAATCACTGCTCAATGCATTCATTCATCCCATCGCAATGGAAATCCAGCACAATTCATCCAATTTATCGAGTTATTTATTTTTCGTTATCATTTTATACTACTGCCTTGCATGTTTGAACAGTTTCTGCATTTGTCAGATTCTGATTTTTTTTTTAAAGAATAACAAAAAAAAAACAAAAAAACAAGAAGCTCCAGGTACATTGCTTCATAGTTCTGCCTAATTTGTTCCGGGATTTTAGGTTTCGTGACGCGAACAGCCTGAACGTAGAGGCCGGGGGCCAGCTGATTGAGATCAAGTTGTAGGGCTGATTTCAAATTTTCATCAATCTGGTCTGTGTGTTTTTGGGGAAGCATTGGATTTTTAATTCATGTCCCACTCTATTGACTGATTGATTCAGTGAATATTAAATGAAATTAATCACTCAACCAACCCATTCAATTCATCAGTCAAGGTAAGAGACCGACATAAAAACGCAAAACAACCACAAAAACGCAACAAAGATCACAAATACAATTTACGAAACATAAATAAACCAAAAACTATATATAACCAAATAAATTAATGTAAACTTCCTGAAGGTTATGGACACTGCAAAACTGATTGAGTTCATGGTGGATCTTGTTGTATATCAACGTCTTGTCATAATCGGCTGTGTAGTTCTTCACTATGTCATACACTGGAGAAGTTTATTTTAATTTAATAATAATTTTTATATTTAATAATTTAATTTAATATTATTTACTATAAAATAATATTATTTATTATAACAATAATTATTAAATGATTTCAACCAGCAGATGGGCTAAGAACATTGACAACTTCAATCCTATCAAAATAGATCATGACTCCGCCACTGTAAAAGATAGAAAATCAGAAAAAAATTAAAAAAATAAATTTGAAAATAAATATATAAATTAAATAAATTTGAAAATAAATATATAAATAAATAATTAAATAAAACCTAACAGAAAATAAATAAATAAATGTCTACAACATACCTAGTTCCACATGGCACATTCTTAACTTCATCTGTCTGCAGTGTTGTCTGTTGTCAAATTTAAAATTTTAAAATGTATTAAAAAAAGATTCTTAAACAAAACATAAATCTGAAACAACTCTATTATAACTTTCTTTTGTTCTCTAAAAGAAGTCTACCGCTGAACTAAATTAAATGGACAAAAAATAAATAGATAAGTTTTTAAACTGGTGATTACTCGCCTGAACAGAACGAAAAGTAGTTATGAAAGGAATCATGATGTGGTACCCAGGACTGCTTGTGGTGGTTAGTAGAGCCCCACCCTAATTATGAAAAATAGGTTGAAATAATATGGTAAAACTAAAAATTAAAGCCTGGTTTTATAAAGAGATTAAGATTAAAAATGTGAACAAAATGAATGAGACTCACTCTGTAATACACACCAACATGACCTACATGAAACAAAAATATGTTGTTTATATTTACATTTTATTCAATTTTATGGAAGTCTGTACTGTGATGAGGAATTTAATTATTATTTGGTAAGTAATTTCATGATGAGGATAAAATTTAAAATAAGATGATCTGACTTCAATCAATCAATAGTCAATGATGGATTTTTTTCAATTATTAACGAAGCATCTGAAGACTGAATAAAATGTCTGAAACGTGAAAGATTACCTTCTTCAATTTTATGCAAAGAAAACGTCATCAGAATCGACAAGAGGACGGCAAAGAAACCGAATGCCCCCACTCCGGACGAATTAGTCGGCATTTTCTAAAGGAGTAAAATAGAAAAACTAACTAAACTAGAAAAAATACCGAACTAATAAATAATAAGAATGTAATATTTTACGACGAAAAATGTGGTTCTAAGTTTGAAATATTTGAAGCATAAATTCGGAAATCAAACACGGCCGAACCAGACGCAAGAGAAGGCAGAAACGAAATTGCATTGATTAGTTAGTAACCGGTACCAGCTGGATCTTGATCAAACTAATGTTACTTCATTTTTAACAATTTACTTGTTAAAATTTAAAAAATTTGTTTAAAAATTAATTTTAATTAATTTTAATTTAAGAAATTTAGATAACTTTCTTAAAATGCAAAAATTTTATTATTTTGGATAACTTTTGCTAAGTTGTATAATTTTGTTATCTATGTTTTATTTACAATCGATAATACATTTGCTATAAATTGATCGAGGATTTATTTTACTTGCCCTGACTGCCTAATCTAATTTTAACGGCTCTAATTGTAATTCATATCAGATTTTTAAGTTAATTGGTGAAAATGGAGAACGATCCCTCAGTTGGTAGTTTTATTCCAGCGATGTATGACATTTTGAAATGGTTTGTTTAGTTTTTAACTAACTTCTTTTGATCTTTCATCTTATTATTTATATTATAAATATATTTATTTTTATATTAAAATATTATATTTATGTATATATATATAGGTTATTTATAGAGAAAGACTTAGTATTAGTTAGTTTAGTACAGTGCTAGTTCTAAATTGTAAAGTTAGCAAGTAAATACTAAATGCCAACATATGAATATTTATCTTTTATTTCTTATTATAAAATTATATTATTTTTTTAATATAATTTAATCTTTACTTTATTTTTTAAAGTTTAATTAAATTACTAAAAAATAAAAATTCAATAAATTGTTTTCAGCTTAGAAAAAGAGCCCCATGATTTAACAGTAAAGATAAACGAATTGAAATCCCAACTACAGAAAACTCGCGAGATGGTTGAGCAGCTACAAGGGGTCGATCTTTCAAAAGATCTCCAACTTAGACAAATGGAAATCCTGAGACAGCAACTCAATGCCAAAACTGACCTCTTGCGAAAATATAAGAATAGCTGTTATTTTGATGTTCCGAAATGAAATTTGACAGTAATTGTAAATATAAATATGTATATGTGTGTATAGTGTATATAAAATATGTACACATATATGTATGTATGTATTGCTATGTTTGTATTTGCATGTGTGTGTGTATACATACATATGTAGTATTATAACAATTTCATTTTATTTTATTATTTCGTTTTGTTTTTAACGATAAATATATGTGTAATATGTGTGTATATACGTATAGGCTTGTAATTCTAATTTATTTATTTTTTTTACTCTACGTTTTCAACTTTTGAAACCCCATTTTATGTTCTCTCGTTACAAGAACATGAAACTATTTGCATAATGTGTGTCATTAAGTTTTAATACCTTCAATGAAGCCATGATAAAATATTTTTATGTTGATATGGTGATGGAAAGAAATGTAGCATAGGAAGATAGAGAAAGAAAGAGATGCCGAAGATTAAATTATGCAAATTGTGAAAATAGAAAGCAATAAACGTAAAGTGGATAGATGCATGAAAGTAATGAAACGTAATAGGTTATCTCGGGTTTTATCACTCACCCCCCCGTCCGTGTATGGGTCTAAAATTTAATATCGCTCATGAGCTAATTTGCCATCCTGTCATTGGTGGAAATTTAGAATGACCTATATCTTACGGTCCAATAAAACCTCGCTTATGTGTCCGCACGTAATTTTTTCTTTCCTACGTTTGTCGTTGATTTACGTTGCAATGCTTCTTATGAGAATCTTCAATCAAAGCTATTTCTCTCATTTCCTCTCCGTGTTTGCGTGCGTGTATGTGAGTATATATGCGTGTCTATCTATCTATCTATCTATCTATCTATATATCTATCTATCTATCTATCTATCTATCTATCTATTTATATCATATCATCTATCTGTATGTAAGTACTCATCCGTCTACCTCTATCTAGATCTATCCATCCTGCCCTCCTGTATATCATTCATTCAGACCTGGAATTAAAAAAACTCGATGAGTCAGCTCGTGCTAGAGAAAATTTTAGCATCGGCCATCAATCAGTGAGATACCAATACACGCCGAAATACACACACACACTCATAATACCGACCAACTAACTTTTCATCGTTTTGTTTACTCATGTTTGTGCATGTACACAATCGCTATCTTTCTGGTGCGTGCTTCTTCCAAGGAAGGATGAATGACGAAAAAATTAAAATGGCTGAGATGAAATTAGGAAAAAGTTAGAAAGAGCAATCAAAAATATGAAAAATATTTCATTGAAGGAGCCGAGATGAAATATATACATACCTAAGCAAGCAATCTGCATGCATGTGAAAAACGCCTTGCATAAATCCTTCAAAACAATTCATTTCCTGTGCGCGTCTGCTCTTGTGTGTGTATGTGCATGAATCATTCATTTGTTCATTCATTCGTCCATTCATTCATTCATCTGTCCGTCCATCCATTCATTCATTCATTCATTCACCCATCTATCCGTCCATCAAAACATTGTCAGTTAGGAAAGCAGTGGTAGCAACTCTAATTAGGATTTACATGCAGGTGTCGGGTGAATTTTTTCTTTGTATTTTTTACCGGTTTCTATAGTCTATCCTCTTATGTTTTAGCGCTGTAACACCATTATCACTGGCATATCATTATCACGAAGCAGCAACAATTATTTTTCTTTCTGTACAAAGACACACACACAAACAAACACACACACACATACGTATATTGATGATTTCGTTTTAATATTGTGCGAAAAAATGCGCGTCTGAACGTATTTATTTGTGTATCTATGTGTGTATCTGTGCGTGTATCTATGTGTGTATCTGTGCGTGTATCTATGTGTGTATCTGTGCGTGTATCTATGTGTGTATCTAGTATGTATTTATGAGTATCTACCTATGTATCTTTGTGTGTGGGCATGTATGTAGAATGTACTTGGATTTGAAATATAGACAGGTATGAAATTTTCTTCAAGTTTTAGGTACAACTTGTTTATATCAGGATGACATTTTATTTTTTAAAACTTTAACGTTAAGTTTTTTTTAGAATTTTCTCGCATACACGCACACACACAGACACAGACACATACAGACACACACACACAAACATACACAGTATAAAATTTTGCATACGATCGCACGATCCACTTGAACTTAAATCATCCGGCAATTTGATAAATTTTTCATCAGAGGGGAGAACTTTTTTCTGATTGGTTGTGAAAGTTAAACACTTCTCTGATTGGTGGGTTAAAATGATATACTTCTTGATTGGTGGTCAGAACTCTTCTCTGATTGGTCAGTTCAAATACGAAAGACGAATAATTTATTTGTCAAAATCGCAAACACAGTTTGTTAATTGAGTTATTATTATCATTATTATTAGAATAATAATTATTTTCATTAAATCAATAATTATTATTATTAAATCAATAATTATATTTCAGCATAGCTCTAATCAGTGAGCAACTTGTATATTTCGCCATTCTTATGTAAATGTATGTCCATTCATGGCTCTCACATTTAATATCGACATTTTCATCTATGCTTATTATTATTATTATTGTTGTTATTATTGTTGTTGTTATTTCAATATTTGAATCGCTCAGTTATTGACCGGTTTTATTCCTCATCTGAGGCAGACAATGGACAGAGATTTCATGCTTAAAATTATGTTTGTATGTATGTATGTTTGTTTGTATTATTATAATGTATGTATGTATGCTTTTATGTATGTATGTATGTATGTATACAAAATTACTTGTATATGTACGTATGTTTGTATATATCTCCATAACACATACATTTATATATATACACACAAATGGATACATACATATACATCCATCCATCCCTCCATTCATACATACATACGTACATACATCCATCCATCCATCCATACATCCATCCATCCATACATCCATCCATACATACATACATACATACATACATACATACATACATACATACATACATACATACATACGTACATACATACATAAATACAGATACAATATATATACATGAAAATTCGTAGTTCTCATCTGTGTTGATCGGTTGCCGCGCAAGACCTCCTTGTTTTGCTTTGAAATTTCATATTGTACAAAACAATTAATAAAATTATTCCTCAAGTAACTATCTAGAAACACAAATATACACAAATATATTCACAAACATACGTATATACGTACATATTCATATATAAGCAGACACAAATACAGGTAAAAATACATATACACATACATAAACACTACATACATACATACATACATACATACATACATACATACATACATACATACATACACACATACACACATACACACATACACACATACACACATACACACATACACACATACACACATACACACATACATACATACATACATACATACATACATACATACATACATACATACATACATACATACATACATACATACATACATACATACATACAAAGATACACAAACATATATACATATAAACAAACATACATACATGCATACAAACATACACACATACATATGTAGGTAGATAGTCATTGCCATATGTTTGTTTGTTTGTTGTTGAGGCGTTCATGGTTTGCGTTGGTTAAAAAATCTGTCATAATAAAAAAAAATCTATCAATTTATTTAAATAATTGACGTTTTAATAATAATAATAATATTAATAATAATAATAGTAATAATAAATTTTGCTAATTTGAAAAAGTGAGCTTTGGATTTCATTCAAGTCTTGCTTAAGTTTTTTTTCATTACACACACACCACACATGTATATCCATACATACACACCCACACACAGCACACACACGTATACACATACATCCATACATACACACACATACATACAAACATACATACATACAAACAAGCAATACTTCAAAGCCCCCTGTTAAAAGCATTGGCCTTAGGCTGAACTATTTAAATCAAAAACTGCAATGTTAATTAATTAACGAATGGATAGTTGACTGATTGATTGATTAATTAATTGATTGATTGAACTAATGATTGAATGGATGAATGAATGAATGAACAAATGAATAAATAAATGAATGAATGAACGAATGAATGAATGAATGTATGAATCAAACAATCAATCAGTCATTCATTCAATCAACAAATGAAAAATAACTTAAATAAGAAATTTCTGATACGTGATTTTTAGTCAGTAATTAATTTAAAAAAAGCTAGTGTTATGAAAAATTTTAACCGAATTATTTGAGTCTGTCTGCCGCTGTAAATACAATTACATTCGAATTTGTCGGCAATAACGTTATAGCGGGGATCAATTTGAATCGGTCGGTATGACGGTACATTACAATTACATTCGAATAAGACGGTATATCGGTATAATACAAATAGCTTTCAGTCCGTAGGTAGTAAAATGTTATAGGGGTAGTAGTAAAGAGAGAAAAAAAGAGAAAGAGAGAGAGAGAGAGAGAGAGAGGAAGAGAGAGAGAGAGGAAGAGAGAGAGAGAGAGAGAGAGGAAGATAGAAAGAACTTTGATGACGTGGAAGTTTTTTAATTTAAATGTTGCGTGCTACGTTAGGTTAGTGGTGGTAATGATGATGTTGTTGGTGGTGGTGATAATGATGTTGTTGTTGGTGGTGGTGATGATGATGATGAAGTTGTTGTTGGTGGTGATGATGATAAATGAAGATAGAGAGGAAAAAATTAATTTAGATAAGAGGTAAAATTGACAAGAAATGATGTGTCGGTGAATTAATATGTAGTAGTTTGTACAGAAATGAGATGACTTGACGCGTTTACGAATGCCTGAGTGAGTACATGCATGAATGAATGAATGAACAAATGAATGAATGAACGAACGAATGAATAAATAGATGGATGGATGGGTGTTGAAAGAAAAAATTGGAGCCAGAAATAAAATAAAACCCTAAATAATTTAACGTTAAATAATGCATGACGCAATTAACTTCGTCCATCCATCATTTTATAATTAAAATGTGAAATAACGAGTGAGTGAGCGATGTGAATGAATGAATGTATGAATGAATGAATGAATGAATGAACAATTGAAGGAATAAAAAATTTAAAAAGATATATGACCAATCGCAAAAAAGAGACCGGAAGATAACAAAAAAAAACAGGAAATAGAACGCAAAAAACAAAGAAATGCAAAAAAAAATCATAGAAAAATATTGTAAAAATAAAAATGAGCGATAATAAAGTGAAAAAGACGTGACTTCAACCGTCTGGGCCGTGTGAGTCGTGGATGTTGTGGGCCGTTAGTGAGTCTGGTTAGCAGTCTGTATGGGCACATTTATTGGTTTGTAAAGGCAAAATTTAACTCTTTCATTTCTCCCCCCCCCTCTCTCTCTCTTCCATTTTTCTCTCTCTTTCTCCCAAATTTTCTCTCTCTCTCTCTTTCTTTCTCTCCCTCTCTCTTTCTCTCTCTCTCTTTATGTTTCTTTCTCTTCTCATTGTTCGAGGTCAGTTATCTTTGAAACGATAATTTATTTTTTAGGATCTTTTTCCGTTTCCTGTTTATCAATTCTCTTTTGTATGTCATACTGCAATGCTACATACATACATACATACATACATACATACACACACATACACACACACACATACATACATACATACATACACACACATACACAACACACATGAATACAACGCTTGTTGCATTTTGATCTGCATGCAAGAGGAAGTATGAATGGATGGATGGAATAATGCCCAGGGGATGAATAAGTATTGCGAGTTATAATAATAATAACTATTATTATTATTATTAAAGTTATAATAATAATAACAATAATATTTATTTGTTTCATGCTTAGGAGAGAATTTTGTTGAATTTTGTTCTTTCCAAACATTCCAAAAATTTGATAAAAACAACAACAACAACAACTTATTTTCAACAACAACATCATCATCAACAACATCATCGTCATTCTCAACAGCAGCAGCAACAACAACAACATCATCATCATCGTCATTCTCAACAGCAACAACAACATCATCATCATCGTCATTCTCAACAGCAACAACAACATCATCATCATTGTCATTCTCAACAGCAACAACAACAACAACATCATCATTATCGTCATTCTCAACAGCAACAACAACATTGTTGGCAACGCCATGGCTCATTGTCCGGTTCGTATGCATTCAACAAATAATTTCATTTAGCTTGTACTTAGCCTAAAAACCAGTATTGCCTCTACAATAAATTGGTATTTTGTATAAAGATAATATTTAGTTTCACTTTTAGACATATAATAATGATTTTTTTTTCAAATTAATTCAATTAAATTTCTAGTTTAAATGGTTCAATTTAAAACTTTTCAGACCGGCTTTCTGACTGGTTGTCTCGGATCTAGAAAAGTAATTATGACGATATTCATTCATTCGTTTGTTCGTTCACTCATTCATTCGTTCATTCATTTATTCATTCATTTATTTATCCATTCATCCGTCCATCCACTAATTCATTTGTATCACCTCGTGCAATCAAATTTTTTTTCTTTGCCCTAAAGCTTAAGTCGCATTGTGCAAATTCGTAGTAGCAGCAGTATTAGTAGTAGCTACAGCAGCTGCAGCAGTAGTAGTAATAGTAGAATTAACAACAACAGCAGTAGTAGTAGTAGTAGTTGTTGGAGAATAATCCACTTTTTTGGCAGAATTATATACGGTAGCAGGTAATAGGAATTGATGGCTCGTTTGTGACTTTATAAGCAATCCAGCATTCAAACAACTGGTCCCAACTTGGAAAAATTCCGAAAAAAAACCGTATGTATAAATATAAGTTTGTTCGTTCGTTTGTATTTTTTGTTTGTATTTTTTGTTTGTACGTATGCTTGTATGTGTGTGTGTGTGTGTGTGTGTGTGTGTGTGTGTGTGTGTGTGTGTACTGGAAGTCTCCCACGTGCACAATTCTACACAGGTAGAATAGGCAACAACAAACATTTTTTCTTTAAAAAAAACCCCTAATTACAATTTTTGTCCTTAGTAGCAATTAATAATAATAATAATAATATAAATAATAATAATAATATAAATAATAATATAATAATAATAATCATCACTCCACCCTTTCAACAATCATCCAATCAATCTTCATTTTTTATTGCTTCTGCCCGTAATTATTAGCTATTATTCGTGTGTGTGTTTGTGTGTATGTATGTGTGTATGTGCGTATGTGTGCGCGCGTGTGTACGTACATAATAAGTATTATACGGTACACAGATCTATTAAGTTTGGCATGAAGGTACCAATTGATTTTTGTTTATATATAATCTTTCAAGTCTGTTTAAATTGATTGGGCGATATTAAAGTTTTGACTGGGCGATATTACAATTTTGACTGGGCGATATTAAAGTTTTGACTGGACGATATTAAAGTTTTTAATAGGAAGATTATATACAGGCTCGTGTTTAGGGGATAACCATAGACATCATCTATCACACGTTATGTCATTTTATGTCAATGTTGATGTCATGCTAGGAAACTGTGTTGTTGTTGTTGCTGTTGTTGTTATTGTTGTTATTGCTGTTGTTGTTATTGTTGTTGTGATTATTGTAATTGCTGTTGTTGTTTGTGATTATATCGTTTCGAGGCTTTTTAGCCATCAAAACTGGAGTGTCAGGCAATTATATCTGAGATTGAAAAACTGCGTGAAAAAAAAATCGAATTACATACAATTATGTCCAACACTGTATTGATCCATTCACTCGTTCATCAACTCTTTTATTTGCTCGTTCGTTCATTCATTCATTCGTTCATTCATTCATTCCATCCATCCAAACAGCTGCATACGATTGAATTCATCTCCATATGGACTCATTACGATAAAGTGAGCTAATTAAAATATTTCACCTCATTAATATTCATGAGGGCCTATCTAATTTAAAATTTTCACCTCATCAATATCCACGAATAAAATTAAGACCTTATTAATATTTATGAGATCATCTTATTTGGAAGGCAAATATTTACCCAAGCCATCATTGGCTTGAAAAAGTAAATCAAAAACTTCATTCACAGAACCTCGTCTCATCAATATTTATGAGGTGAAAAACTTATATAATTAATATTTATGAAATGTCAATCATCTTATTTAACTCCACCCAATCAAAGGACGCCAGTGGTTATTTGGACAGGGGTGAGTTAGATATGTTCCTAATTGACCTTCTAAAAGGCCAAAAAGTGGTTAGTCACACAATGTTTTGTCGCAACCGATATCAAGAATAATTAATTAATTAATTAATAATTACGTACACACACGTACACGTACGTAAGCATACAAAAATACAATTCACACACACACGCACGCATGCACAGACACAACCTTT